TGAAAGATATATGTTACATGGCGTCTAGTTTTTATAAAAAAAATCAAATATTTTTATTTTACATAAAAAATTTAACATAAAATTGATATATTTAGATATATTTTTAAAAAAATTCCAAGGCCCGATCCAACCCGACCCGAATATTTTTTAAAAATATTGGAACCCGATTTTCCTACTTTTGCAGATCTCTAATAAGAATTATTAATGTTTTATTAATATACTCATTTGTTATCATTAAAATAATACATAGTTAAATAAAGGGGTGTTATTTATACTAAAGTATTTTAATAATAAATAAAATCTATAATGAAATTCTCTGTAAAATTATGTTATACTTATATGCAAAAATTTAATTAAGATAATTATTTTTAACATAGAATAAGATATATTGAGTGTCATAAAATATAGGAGGTTTTTTTTTGGGGATGGGGGGGGGGGGACGATTTTATTCTTCTTTCTACACCGAATGGATTGAATTAATTTACAATTGACTAAACATTGATAAAATTTTCAGAATAATGCTTTCAGTCGCGTAATAATCATAAATTTGGCCAAAATTTTGTTACTAATATTTTTTTCATTTATGCTGGCTACTATAGTGGTTAGACACTAATAAAGCACAAAATATTGGCAAATTTCCCCCCCCCCATGTATCAATCCTGGCTACGCCACTGCGCGTACGCAGGGATTTGGTCTGGGGGGAGGGATAATAAATTTTTTAAGAAATATTATAGTTATTTAAAATTATTAAGCATATTTATTAGGACTAATAACTTTTCTAATACACAATTTTAAATTATGGGAATTATAAAAAAATTATATATATAAACCGGCATTGAAAAACTATAAAATAAATGTGAATTATAAAATAAAAATAACCACCATATGAATCACTTAAATGACCCAAAATTGAAATTTGAATATTTTTAACCTTTAAAATTTATATATTAATTATAAAACATTTAAATGTTGGATAAATCACAAAAAGTTTCTTAGGAATAATTGTATTTTATATATTTTGAGCTAATTTTTCAATTATCTCATCCTTGCTTGGCGTTAAATGCATATGAATATTCAAAAGATCCAAACCATTCAATCTAATTTCAGAAGTTGTATTTCATTTCATAGGTATGTTTTTCAGAGACTTGCAGGCCCGGCTTCCAGGCCGGACCTTAAATTTTTTTAAAAAAATATTTTAAAACCAAATATTTAAAATCGCCATTATTAACTATAGAAATCAAAAAAATATAATATATTTTAAAAAAATTCGGGCCGGGCCTGAAAATTTTTTTTAAAAAAAAACCCGGGCCAAAAAAATTTTGAAAAAAAAATCCAGTCCGTGGCCTGCAAGTGGTATATCTGCAGGGCTCTGTTATTCTTCTTAAAAAAGAGAATATTTTATCATTAGTTTACTAATGGGAAGAGTTGCTAATATATATATATATAACCATTTTAATACATTGGGAATATAATCTAAATGTATTTGAAATAATGCAAAGCATCCATAGCATTTTTTGGGATTGTATTAACCATAGTTATTCAGCTAATAATGCATCATAAGATACTTTAACATCTTCATGATAAAAATTTAACAAATATTTTTATTTTTTTTCTATCACCATCTGAAAAAGGTTGGAAAGCTTTTGTGGAAGTAATATTTGGTAAGTGCTGCATGATGAATTAAAAACCATTCATTTATTTGGGTTATAAATGTATCTAAGAGAGGGGACATTTGTTTTATAATACTCTTCTACTGATCCTTTATTAATGTTTTGACAATGAGCTTGCTTGCTGCAAGTCGAGGGGGACAAATATTAAACACGTATAGCTCTGCTTTTGACTCAACAATAACATATAAACAGGGGCGGACTGGCGACGCTCCAGCCTTGTGAACATTTTTTTATAGCAACCTCATTTATATGGGGGCGAAGTCCCCATACCCCCATTTTGCGGGCTTTCGGCCCGCTTTTGTCCGGTCTTCGACCGGGTTCCCTTAAATGGCTTCTTATTTTTTGAAAATAAGTTGAAACGTTTTATATTTTTAGTAAAAAAAAAAAAGAATAGTATTATATAATAATCATATATTTTATTAATGCACATCTAAAATCATATTCATTACCTATATAAAATAATATTCATCTAAAATATATATTTTATATTAGATTTACAACGATATTGCACTATAAAATCAAATCATATTTTATAAAATCAGGCACCGATCATGTTGTAAATAATATTAATAAGATTTTAATAAAAGAATAAAGAAAATATATAAATTTACGTTAATAAATCTCTCATTAACTTTGAACCTTTGCGCAAATATACAGGAATATCTTCTAGTTCAATCTACTAATAGTTCTCGTTCAACTTACATCATTAAAAACGCTTCTAATTTTTCTTGGTCAATATTAGCTCTCAGCTTATTTTTATAATTTTTAATTTACTAAATGCTTTCTCGCAATTAACCTGCGTAAAAGTTAAAATGTATTCATAAGCCAAAAATAAATTAGTGTCACTTGTATGCTTATTGTATCTTTTAAGAATTTCATACTCGCATATTAAACACTTGGTACATTTATTATCACACTCTGATTTATTATCATATTGTAATATTCCATCTTCTTCATTTGACTCCTCACTTGTACATGCGATATCATCGTCCGTTTCATTTAATTCTACTACAAAATCTTTGAATACACTGGCAAATGAACATTATTCGTTATAAAATTTATCACTCAATATATATGCCAATTGTGCCAGTTTTTCCAAGGCCTTTTCAGAAATACCTTTACTATTTATTTCATCAAAATGTCTTGTATACAAATATAGCACATTCAAGATAAGCTTCAATTCGCAGAAAGTAGTTCCGGATAGGACTAAATAGTTCGAACCTATAAAGGTCAATCGATTCTTGAGGACGTTCATCTTGACATTTGTCACTATATATTCTCTTCGCTCGTCTTATTCGATCTTTTTACAGAGCATTTTTCAGATACTCTCCGAGAGCTATAAATATGAAAATGTTTCATTTAAATTATCAGCCATTTTATTGCTTTATTTTGAATCGATGTAATAATCGATGAGACAGAAGATTTAGCATCTTCTTTCAATTTCCATGCTGACAAAGTACCTAATTTTTTAGTTTGAAGACAGTGGCCCCATTATTTTAAAAATTTTCAAATATATTATAGCTGTACTTAGAGTCATAAATTTACATATATTATCTAGTTTTTGTCTCAAATTATTTATTATCTATTATAAATTGAAGTGCCTATATCGTTATTGAGAGCAAGCTCTCTTTATATCCATCTAAGGGCTTTTTCACGTGCCCACCACCTTATCTCACCTATTTTTAGCAGCCTTCTCAACTTATTTTGGCCAGATGAATTATTCTATTTCACCCAAGCATCCATCCTTTTATCTAATTCACCGACCTGGATTTTATTTGATTTCAATCAATTAAGAACAAGAAATGTTGGCCATATTATTTCTACAATAAATCAATGTATAAAAATATAATATAATAAATTAATCACTTAGACTCTACTCAAACGGAAGCGTTTTCACTTCATTTGAAAAAAAACAAAGAAAAGAAAGTGGTAATGATGTGTAGCGTCAAGCGATGTTATTGATATATTATTTAAATTATAGTAAACGACATGATAATTCTCAAGGAATGTGATATTTAAATCATAGAGATATCATTAAAAATAAATAAATGATAAGAGAAAATAATGTGAACATAATAATAATTTTATTCTAATCGGACTCTATTTTGATATTTTCCTCTGATCGGCCTCAAAAATCGACATTTTCTCCCGGTCTCGTGGGCAAAATGCCCACCGGGTCTTATGGCCAGTCCGCCCCTGCATATAAAATATGAATCAACATTAGCTCTAATTTCCTTGAGTTCTAATAAAATGCTCTGCGCTATTCTCATCTTCTTAATCAGTCAATGTCATTTTTTGAAAAGTATTACATAAATAGTTGTATAATTAAATAATACATTCTAATGAGAAAAAAAAATTTGGAATCAGCATTGAATCCAATAATTTTCTTGCTTCTGAGGAAATATTTCTTTTAAGCCATTGTGATATTTCAGTAATAGCATTCATAATCGGCTCTTCTAACTCCATAAAAGCTGTTACTGCGTGATGGCGGAGACTAGATCTCGTTGGACAAGCTTACAATTTCTTTCTCCCTGTTGGACAAGGAGTTTCAGGGATAATTATTATTTGACTAGAAATTTAGATAAATATTACGCCACTAAAATTTGAAAATAATAGGTAAATATTCCAAGGAAAACTTGAAATCGAAGTTGATAAAATAAGTAGATGAATGTGAAAAATAAATGTAATTAAATATATATATATGAGATAGGAATAAAATGTTAACAAATATATAAATTAATATTAACAATTATATTTTTGAAAAATATAATCAGGCATTTGCATTTTTTGGCTTTGGGGGGGGGGGGGGGGGGGGTTGTCTTTAGCTAATCTTTTTAAGATTAATTAGGGGAGGGGAGGGGGTGATGCCAATTATCTTGTGAATTTGTCTTCGAACAATCTTTTGTTTCTTCTAATCTATAATTTAAATTGTTGTCCTAAGAAAACAGAAGTATATATAATAAGTCTTAGTTAGCATTTGTATTATGAGCTTTTCCTTTTTAAATCTGAACCTTTTTAAGTTCTATTTTACAAGAATATATAAATTATTTATTCTTACTCTTTCAGTCTTGTCTGAACTTTAAGAAATAATTTCCAGCATTAAGTATTTTTTTTGTTCTCAACTTTTAAAGATTTTTTATTCTTAGCATTTCGATTAAACATATATTATATTTTGGGTAAAATAAAGCAGAAAAAAATTTTGTAAATGTAATTATGTTGAAAATATTTAACATATCGTTTACATTTAATATTATATACCTCTTTTTTAGTTTCTGGTTATCAAATCATCATACTAATTAATTATATTTGCCATATTTATTTATAGATGTAATGATTAAAAATAACCAACTAGAACGAATAAAAAGAAATCAACATAAGGATAAATATGACAAGAAAAAGGATAAAGACAAAAAGAAAAGAAAAGCTAAGAACAAAATTAAAGGCAAAAAAGACAAAAGGAAGGCCAAAGATAAAACAAATAAAAAGAAAAGCAGTGATAAAAAAGATAAAAAGGATAAAAAAGATAAAAAGGATAAAAAAGATAAAAAAGATAAAAAAGATAAAAAAGATAAAAAGAAAAACAAAGACAAAGACAAAGACAAAGACAAAGACAAAAAAGATGAACAACCTATTGTTTCAGGTAAAAAATTTTTATTCCATTCTTTTTGTAGCAAAACTAATTAAACTATGATAAAAAAAAATTCAATAATAGCTAAAAAAAAAAAAAGGTACACTAGGATTATTAAAAAAATTAAATAAACGGCGCGATATTAAAACACTGATAGTTGCATTTTAAGTAAGCTAAGTCATAAAATTATTTTTAATATCGTAATTTTTTACTTTGTAATTTTTGTGGGACAATTTTTGTTTTGTGAACTACTATGAAACTGGGTTAGAACTTAGAAGGAGATATTGTGAACGTAGTCTTATTTTTGTTTAAGGAATGAAAATCAGAGAAATTATTTTTAAAAAATGTTCAGAACACCAGAATTGAGTTTCAAACCCTGTTCACAGTCGCAATCAATGGATTTCGTTTTTTGAATTAAAAAAAATAGAATCAAACGAAATCACTTTCCTCATATTAAAATTAATAATAGTAAAAAATGTAGTATTTAACAGAAACTAGCAAATAGTGAACATATTTATAATTTTATATAATAATTATTATTTTGAGAGTTTAAAATGAGAAGATTAGGGTTATGCAAATCGCATATCTTTTTAAGTCTATAACTTTCTTGACTTTTTTTATTTCGAGGATGTACCATTATCAATAATAATTTACAAATAAATATGATTACTATCACAATGTAATAATATATTAACCTTTCATTTATCATTTCACTTTTTGTAAAAGTAGTGTTGTCCAGCAAGCCCTAACTGTGGGGTTAATCAACGCCTTATGAAGCTTCATAGAACATTTAATTTACTGCCTTACTTATAATGGACAAAAATATCATTTTTTTTAGTTAGAATCTTTATGTATTTTGTTTGAGAGTCAAATATATATATATATAAATATAACAATTTTGATAATTATAAATTTTTAGAACATATAAATTATTTGTTCCTTTGATTTTTTATAATATCTATAATTTTTTTTTATAATATTTACTAAAAAAATATTTTATGGCATATTCAAGGTTCAAAGTATGCTGGTTTCAAAAACCCCACTAGCACTAGCTTTACTAGTGACGATTAAAATAATAAGATACCATTAATTCAAACTGCTAATTTCCGCATAAATGCAGACTAGCTTATTAGAGCAAAGTATAAATATCATGGTGTCTGACATGTCCCATGGTTTATCCAGCCTCGGTTTACTTTATCAGTTTTGTTAAAATTATACGATTTTAAGTTTAGAAATGATATTCTACAAGTTTAATAAAACGGTAGGTAATTTCGATTAAACAAAAATTTGTTTTAAAAATAGGAATGCGAGATTTTCAAGAATTTTAATACAAGAAAAACAACTAGTTAAGTAGAATTTGGAACCAGGTTTAATCTATTGATAAAAATAAGAGTAACCTTACTAACCTTAAAACATCTACAAGTTTTAAAACGGCGAATTATATGTTGTATATTCATCAAATGCATAAAAATTTAATTAATTATAAAATTGATTATTTTTATTATTATAGAAATAAAGGATGTAAATTCACAATCTGAATATTGATGAAAATCCTTAAATAAGTGATTTATTATGAAACATGTAATTTGGAAAAAATAAAGCTGTTATGATCAATGACACGAATCTTAAAGCCTTCCTCAGTCTTACATATTTTTAATATCTTACTATAACAATACCTCTATTTTTGCATTTAAGTTTCAGTTTCATGTCTATTCTTTAAATATATAATGCTTTATAGTGTTAAAGGGTCAAAAAAGCCTTATATTTTATCATTCATTTTGTGAACATTTGCATTTTTTGTTACACACACATATTTTTTATAAATTTATTGTTTATTTTAAAAAAATATATTTTGGCACGCTAAGGCAATAATTAATGCAACAAAGTTTCATTATTTGTAATTTATACATTCTTATATATTTACATGTTTGTTGATTATTCTTATATTATATAAATAAAATTCGAAATAGATTATTCAAAAAGGTTTCTAAATATAAGGCAATTAAAATATAAAACAATCTTAACCAAGTAGCAAATAATCAAGCTTTCATTAGAAACATGTTGTTTTACAAAAACATATAAGGAAATCGCAGTTAGGAAAGTTAAACGTCCATCATTGGTAAGGTGTCTTTGGAGTGTATCCCATTACATCGTGTGATATAATGTTCGACATTATCATAATAATTAAACAGTGTGTGATCAATAGAATATCTTAAGGACAGCATTCCTATGAAGGGGTGGGGGGGGGGGGAGGGTTCTCGGTAGAATGTCACAAAGACGTTCATCTTTTGTTAAGTGTATATTTATTATCAATCTTACATTCTACTCTATTTGATTTCTTTTTTTTTTCTTTTTTAATATTTCCTTTCTTGCTAATTCTTTTACTTTTTTGTATGCTAAAAAAATTCCCTCATTTCTGCCTCCCTAAATTTCAACATGGATACTGTCAAAAATATGATTATAATTTATTAAAATGAAAATCATTTTCCTTCTCTGGCAGTTTCGATAACTGACCCGCTCCTGTTGTTACGCATCTGGGATTTTGTTCTTAAATGTTTTTTTTTTAATATATAGCAAACTTCTGATGATATCTTCATACTTTTTAATATATTTTAAATGCAAAGATGGTAAAGAAAAATATTGTAATTTATTTTACCCCTTTGTTGTATTTTTTAAGCCATCTATGTAAATGTCTCTAAACCTTTTCAAAATAGGCTAATCCTTTTCCCTTCGTTGCTGATTTTCCCCACTTAAGGGCACTTAATAAACAAACTATACAGTTTTTATTCAAATATATATCGCATCCATTTATTAATTATAATTGTTTTATTTAATAAATATAGCAGTGGAGTAGCTACGGGAAAGGGGGGGGGGTGGTTGGACCGCTCCTAGAGCAAAATTTTTTTTAGATTATACGTTCAAAAGACTCAAAAGTGACTATATAAAATAAATTACCATGAATATTTATATTTTTTTGGTTTTGATGTTTGTGGAAGGATATTATATTACTAGAAATTATTCTGGATAGTATTATTATAAAGTCATTGAGAATAATCTACTAAATTATAATAACATGTTATTGATACATTTAAGAAATATATTTATTATATATTATCTAAAATATGGTTCCCCCAGAGCAACGTTCAAAAAATACTTTAATTCAAATAAATACCCCAACAAGATAATATTTTAAATAAAAAGTTTGTTGAATATTATTATGAACTTTAAAAATCTAGGACTACGATATTATAAGAAAAACAAATATGATTTTTAAGAAAAACCCGGCCGAAGACCGGGCGTTAAAGGAGGCGTGGGGGCGGACCCCCTCTAAGGCCTAGCTATGCCACTGAAATATAGGTAGGATAAAAAAATGGCCAGAAAAGTGAAAAAAGCAGAAAAAGTAAAAAAATGGAGGAAAATTAAAAACATAAAAGGGATTTCAGCTCAGAATTAAGAAAAGTGTTTTAGTAAAAAGAGTGAATAATATATAGTTATGTATATCGTTTATATCCGCAGTAAGTGAAAATATCACAAGGCTAATATATATCTTTTTAAATTAATAATTGGTTATTAAATAAATATACACTACATAAATTATATAATACAACACATAGCAAGGTTAAATAAAAGTACCGTGTTAAGAACAAACATAAAGATAAAAAAACTGGAAAAATTAAGGGTAAATTTAGAAAGAATTACTTCTAATCTAAGTTTTAATACATAGGAGTAGCCAGGATTGTAATAATGGGAGGGGGGGGGGGGAATGCTATTAGGGTTTTTTCTCGTGAGTTTATTAAAGGTCATTGTAGACCTTTGGCTGTGATGGATTTTTATAAAAATGTATTTTTACTAAAATTTTAAATAATTGTGGTAATTTAAAAGTTATTAACTTTAACTTTTTCTTCATATTCTTTTTGATAGTAATATTTTATCATTTTTTTGGAGGGGGGGGGGAGGTTTATTAACATAAAATAACATTTACGAGAACAGGCAAATTTCCGAAGCCCCCTTCCCCGGCTACGCCAATGTAAAATAAATAATGTCCGATTCTATTCGCATACTTATAATTATATACCTATATTTTGTCCGGAAATGCATAATTAATTCATTTTATGTTTCAAAATTATAATAAATAAGATATTTTAAAATATCAAATCCTTGTTAAAAAATTAATCTAAATTTAAGGGCATATTTTAGTGAGGCCGTCATAGTTCACCTTTTAATTACAGATTTTTCCTATGTAGTAATATAAATTACTGTTTTTTAACATTGCGGAAATAGAAAAAAAAAATTTAATATCACTTAATTCAAAAACAAAATTTCCAAAGTGTCTAAAGGACTAAAAAGCTGCAAGAAAAAACCTAACTAGGATGGGACTCTATAAGATAAATTTTCTATTTCGCCAAATCTTGATAAAAAAACGTCATGAACATTAAATTTAAATATTTTTTTTAAATCGAATTGTCATTCTGGTGTATTAGCAAAGAAATCGTGTTAAATGCAGAAGAATTATATAAATAATAAAATATAGCATAGAAATAGTGATAAATGCACAAGAATTATATAAATAATATAAAATAAATAGGTATAGAGTTAAAACAATTCCTCTTCATATTAAATATTGGAATTCTTACAAATATAAATATGTAATATAGTTACTAATATCTTTATAAATATACGGAAATTTTATAAAACAAATATATTAATTAATTTATTAATTTGATATAATATTTCATTATTATGTAACAAAAGGATTTTTAAAATTTTGGTGGTTAAAATTCATAAGATATTTTTACTGGGAAATGAAACTACTACTCCTTTAAATATTTACCGATGATTATAAAGTGAAGAAGAAACGAGTTTATTATATGATTATGGAATTTAAAGGTGGGTGGAGAGATGTGGGTTGCAAAATTGTTGAAATCGAATCAGGTGATATATTCGAGTCGAAATGCGATTTAGAATTGATAAGGATTTCGTTATTATAACTTTTAATTTCACTTTCTTGCTTTTTATTGTCATCGGATTCCATGCTTTGAATTTCGACGACTATAAGTTTTTATAAATAAAAAAAAAATAATGTAATCTTTGGGAAATAAAAAATTATACAATTAGTCACAACAAGTGCTAAACCCCGTTACTTTTACAAGGCAAAATGAACTAATGTCTAAATGAACTGAGGGTAGGAGGGTTTGTTTTCATATATATCGGGGAAGTAGGAGATAGAGATCTGCAATGGGCAAGTTTTAGCCCGCCCGCCCATTCTACGGGCGTATTTTAAACATTGGGGTGGAGCAGGCAGAAAAATAATTCTAAAACAATGGCCGGGCGATGGGCGGGTAAATTTGAAATATTTTTCTAGCGAAACGAGCAGAACATATTTCTATTTATAAAAAATAATTTTTTTTTATTTTATAAGCATAATGGGTCTAAGTAAAAATACATTAAAATAAAGAACCAAACCAACCAATAAAATAACTTTTGAACATTGGGTGGGTGGGTTAAACAAAATTTTGATAAATGGGCAGGCGGGGGAATTTGAAAATAACCTAGAAGTATGGAAGTGGGTTAAAATTTTTAAACAATGAGTGGGGGAGGTAAGCCCCTCCCCCTTATTGCAATCTTCTTGGAGGGTAACTCAGCATGCTATATTTAATAAAGAATTTTCTTATTAACAAGTAATGTTGTTAAACGACTCGATTTTTAAAAACAGTTAACTCAATATTTTGGCCAGAAAAATATTGCCTAGGCCTTGAGATTTGGCTAATAGATGTCCAAATTTTTGAATGATATATGAGAAAAATCTTCAGACTTGCGTAATATTTTTCAGGCTAAAATATTGATAACCGTTTTTAAAAATATGCTCACAACACTCAACAAGTATACTCCTATTTTTTTGGCTTATTCTAATTATCAAATACTAAAATTAATCATATTTAATAAATTATTCTTATTTAAGATATTTTTCCCAATTTTCGAAATTTCCTATTCAAATTTTTTATAATTAATCATCGTAAAAAACCCATATAAAAATAATACTCAAAATATTTAAAATAAATTAGCAAAACATTTCGAATGAGCTTATTATATCTGTATTTAGAACAGCGATGATGGAACAAATGTTTATATGATATAACACATTTATGGAGTTGGGCAGATCCTTAAAAAAATCAATCTAGATACAAATAAGGATTATTTGAAAATAAAGTATCTTAGATACCGATATAAGTATTTTATTAAAAATAACAAAAAGATATAAAGTACAATTACAAAAGCGATACTGCCCAACCCTGCCCGTTTATGAAATTCCCACTTTTAGCGTATTAATTTTATTTTTTAAAACTATTTTTAAAAAAAAATAATTAAAAGGATGCATATATAAAATCATTATATTTTATGAAAATTATTTCATAATTTAAATATATCATCAGTGATGTGATTGTGCATATAATTTTCATAGAAGGCATTTAAATTATGCCAATTTTGTTTTATACAATGGTTGCTATTTGATCAACTTCTTTTAGCGAATAATGAACCTTAATCAATTTCTGAACCCCATTTTCTTCTGGATATGTTTAAACTATATTTCTTGTGTGTTGATAATATACTACTATAATTTCCGTTAAACTATGATTTTGTAATCAAAAAAGATTTTCTGAACATTCTTAAATGAATAACAACACAAACTTGATAAATATGACATTTAAATAAATGGTTCTATAATATGATAACTTTATGTGTTCCAACAAATTATCACGTTCACCTCTATCAATCCACAAACCTTAGAAATTCCTAATTTTAATAATTTTACCCAAAGGAGGAAGATCTTCGATTATATAATAAACTATAATGGCCACTGAATAGTTTTTTCTCCCGATTTTGGTCAATGATTTTTTAAATATTAAAATGTATAATATTGATTCCATATTTTTGAAGATCAATTATAGTTAAAAAATTGTGAACCTTTCTTCTGATGATCATATGTGACGTCCTTGTTTTCATGAGATGTGGCAATTTGATAAAAATGTTTATATTTTTGTAATATTTTATAATAAAATTCTTGAAAGCCTCTAATTACCTTTTGTGGAAACAGAGTGGAGTGTATGAAAAAGGGTCTTTTCAAATATTTCTAATAAGCAAACTTATGGTGAATACACTTTGATCTCCATTTTAAAATGTTACATTTGTCAGAAATTGAATCGTTTTTTCTGGAGTGCAGATATTTGTTATAACATCAAATTTCAAATAATTATGTATTTTAAACCATCCTTTATTTTAGCTTTCACCAGAACCATCCTTTATAAATATCATTAATGAATCGACCTGAAAAAGTTCGTATTTGGTTGGAGTTTATTCAATATTATACTTTATGTAATAAATATTTGAATTTCTACCTATTTTTAATATTTATATTTTCCAAAAGGTAAGGGGGGGGGGGGGGGGGTGAATATATTCTTGTGCCAGCTTAGTGTGAAGACCCATGCCTGAAAACAAATATGCATATTAATTTCCTCATAATTAAATAAGTTAACTTATAATTAGGGATGTACCGATATTTTATATCGGATCGGATCGGGCCGATATTTCCATCATTTTAAAATATCGGTTATCGGCAAATATTATAAAATTTTCCGATCCGATATAAAATGGCGCTTTTAACAAAATTTAAAAAAAGTTATATCTAAAAAACCATTTATTTTTATAAATAAAATCGAAATACATTTTTATGTTTAATTTTTTTAATAGAAATAATTAGTTAATAAACATTCTGCAATATAGTTATTTTTTTTCGCATTCTGTTTAAAAAAGTGTTCATTAATCTCTTCAGTATCTGTTTTTAGTGATGCTAGTGATATTAACAGTCCCCATCACCGCCGACATATCTCTGATATAAAAAGAAATCTTCGATATATTAATTTTAAATATTAATTTCAAATTTCATAATATATTTTTTTATTACTAATTATGTAAATAGATTAATGTTATTACTTATTATATAAATAATAGCAATTGAATTGAATATAAACTATAACTGACCATTATAATATATTTAAATGACATATGTTATGGTATAGTAAAATTATAGATGTTGTACTACAGTGAAGAGGGGGATATTTTTCACCAGATGTTAAAACAAAATAAAAGGATGTTATTATATTTTTATTTTAATGATACTTAAACATTAATCTATGTTAAAAAGATATTAAACAACTTTTTCAAAAAATGCCGCACTTGAAGTTTATAATTAAAAAAACTTTTTTAACATAAAAAAAACATATTTTTTCACATATCATTTACATAATTTAATATTTTTGTATATTTAATTTAATATTAATTAATTTTTCAATCTTTACATATATAATGTTTAATATAGACTACTTACTTTATAATTTTAATAACTCTCCTTTACTCCCAAGTACTTCTGTAAATTATTCTTTGCCAATCTCAAATGGGAATGATATGGAAAGTTATCAATCACATTCTAGCATTTCTGCAAATAATAATTCTTTAGCAACTATTAATGAAAATATAAATCATTCTGATCATATAATGGTATATTATTCCGAAATTCGTTAATGGAGATTATTAGTATGTTACCACCAGATGCCATCTTAGTTATGGATAATGCTTCTATACATAAAAGTCATCTAATTGATGGAGTATCTCCCCACATATTCACCACAATTGAACCCAATTGAAAATTTTTTCGGGGTCTTCAAAAACAAATATAGGTCATTAATTCCCAGACCAAGCACAAGGGAGCACATAATAACAAATATTAATCAAATTATGCATCAATTTATTCCTTATGATTTTACAAATTTTTATAATCATATGCAACAATATTTGGAGTTGAGCTATCGTGGACTACCTATTGACTAAAGTAATCTAATTATATAATAAATTACGATTAACATTTTTTAATATTTTAATTAAATAGGTACTACTAAGCAAATTTATGACTATGAACTACCATTAAATATTTCATATTTTATATAATCAATATTCATGTATTAATGTAATTACGAATTTATTATATAATGTTTATATGTAATATACGAATTGAATAAAATATTAAATTAAAGTTATGTCTCAAATATGATAAAATAAAGTGAGAGAAAAAAACTATTTTCAGAAATAAAAAATTTTGACTAAGATCTAATAACTAAGATGAATATTTTATCATTATTTTTAAAATTATTCTACATAAAATATCGTTAACTAAATAAAAGAAAATATGTGATGACAAAACTTTATATTTTTTTATAAAAAAATTTTTTAAGTGTGACATTTAAAAAAGTTGTTTAATATTTTTTTAACAAAGATTAATGTTTAAGTATGATTAAGATAAAAATATAATAATATCCTTTTATTTTGTTTTAACATCTGGTGAAAAATATCCCCCTCTTCACTGTAATAAAAGGTATATTAAAAATTAAAACCGGTATCTTTGCAGAATACAAAATTAGATATGATATCGGATCGGTTATCGGCCGATATCAATTTAATATCTGAAATATCGGATAGGATCGGATCGGCCTCCAAAAAGTGGTATCGGTACACCCCTATATATAATATTAAATATTATTAAAATTAAATTATTTATATAAAAAGAAAAATTTTATTGTAATCGCTTGCGTCAGGTAGAAAGCTTATTTACGATCGCCACTTATATCTGAATTATATTTGGGGGAAGCTTTATTGATCGCAGTTATTTGATAGATTACAAATTTTTCTAAAATAATTTTGGTTCATCAATTTTTTTCATTATAATGATGATTTTCTGAAATTTTAAATATCATTACTCGTTAATTTAATAAATTAACTTATTTATTTTTCATAAAATCTGAGGGGTATATTGTATAAATGGGGAGGGAAAGGGGATGGCGTTTATTAGCTTAAAATATTTTAATAAAATGGGCAAATTTCTGAAGCGGGTTTGGCTACCACCCTACAACTTCCTGTCTAAATTTTTTTAAATTATCACCAAAACGGTGACTAATGAAATATAGTGAACATTATTTATCTACAAATATTTATTTTATAGGATGAAATATAGTGGAGGAATTTCTATCTATTAATTCGTGCTGGAAAATCTATATTTAAATCCCAAGCAAATGAAAAGACAAAATCTTAAGGTGTCAGACTTATTTCATTAGGTCTTATGTTATTGCTTGAACAAAAACGAATATTGCAATTAAAATTATTCGTTTAACTACTTAATATAAATCTAATCAATAAACAAACATTTAAAAAAGAACGAACATTCATATATAATAATAATAAACCATATTCGTCTGTGTAGTTTTCGGTCTCCATAGAGAGATATAATTTATCTTCATTTTGGTCGAAAGAAGATGTTTTTAACCTATCCTCCTCTTTATAGGAAATATTATTTTCGTAATTAATAAACATATCTTTATCACCCTCAAGTCGGCATTCCACATTGACAATTTCTTCAGTTTTATCACTACTGCTATTTGAATCGACAAGTCGATTGTGAATCTTTTTAATTGTATCACTTAAAAATTCGTTTTTGTGATAATTATTTTTTCGGCAACGATTTTTAAAATTCTTTGAGACGCTATCATTTCTCGAGTGGTTTTTCTCGAAAGGGGAAGAAGATAATGAGGCGTCAGTACTTTGTGAAGAATTGGCACTGTTTATCTCTTTTGAAGGAATCAATTTATTATTATTATAGGAGTCCGAGATTATATTAATGAGTTGGTTTTCTTGCTTGTTAAGCCTAGTAAGGAAGGACAATGGAGATATCAAAGATTTGGCTCTGAGTGAATGGGACAAGAAAGCTTTATTTTCGGAGTAACTTGATATTTTGTAATAGTAGTTTTTTAAACATTATTAAAGGTGCAGTAAAGATTTTAGATGAAAGGAATTGAATGGTTACTAGAATGTTTCCTGATTTTCTAAACGATATTAAGTTATTGAAAGAATTTCATTATTATAATTTTCAAATGAATGAGGATGTAGAGGACTGCAGTAATTACAATTTACAAGGGAATAAAATCATTAAGTCATGCGATGAAAGTGTGGAACGGATTGTCGAAAAGTGACTATGAATTGTGGTAGGTGACTATCAATTTGGATTTAGATCGCACTGATCCACAATGGAAGCGATGGTAGTTCAAAGGCTATAAAGAGATTAAAGAAGTAGAAGGGCTATGAAATTAATTGATAATTAAAAGGCTTTGAAACGAAAGTGAGTATCTGTCGAATACAAGAGACATGCATGATCAAGAGTTTATTCATGGTAGTAACCATCCCCCATGGAAAATATTATTTGTGTAAAATGAGATTGCGATGCTAATTAGGAAGGGCGGGAATTATATGTAAAAGGGACATAACGGAGTTTAGCAAAAAATTTCCTTCTGTTTCTCGGTAAGATAACTTAGTCGTTAGATTTAGAAACGGCCTAGTATACCTTATTTGAATAATATCTTAGAGAGAAATGAAAATGAGTAAGTTGAGGCGAGTTTGAAAAGTACCTGGATTTATTGGAGTAATTTGGATTAAAGAAGAGTAGTAAAAACAATGCACTTAAGGTGTGAATATGACTAAATTTGTGGTATAAGGAAATGATTGACAGGTGGGTGAATGCAAAGTTTACAATTATTTAGGAATGATGTTATAGGGGCGATAAATGGGTGGTCAGATCTAAAAAGGAAACATAATTATGAAATTCGAAAGTATAGAGATTGATGATATAAGATAATATAAGAGGGAGAACAAAGGTGATTTGGCCATATGGAAAGATCAGAGGTGTTCATCGGGAAAAAGTAGAGACCATGGTGATAAATGGGAAGCGTAAAAAGAGATATCAGTGAAAATGTGGAGGGATTTGGTGAAGGGTATAGCAATGTTAAGACTAGAGCTAGGGATACAGGCAAGAAAATAAAAGTATTCGAGTGATGGAGGGGAGTGATACAGTAGAATTTAGAAAGACATTAAAGGGGAAAAAATTATATTCCTATATATATAACATGCATATCAAGATTAAAAATCTTAATGGTATTTCAATAAATATAAATATTAATGCAATTGAATAATTATATAATTAAATTAATAATAAAAATCATCTGTCATGATAATAATATTTTTTATTGCACCCAATACTCATTTTTGAACTATAATATGAGAAAGAATATAGTATATATTGCACCTTGTGGTGCTACCATAAATGAATACATTAAAAGATATAGTGATGAGGAAGGTTTACTAAAGATAGCTAGTTTGATATTTATCTGCAAAAGGTATGTGCAAGGAGTCAATGATGATAACGTAGATAAGTAGATTGGATATTAGTAATTGATCCACTTTGGAAAAACTGAGAAAGTTGAGCAATTTGTGTGACGCGCTGAATGCTGGTGGAGGTGTTAATTCTGCTGTTGTTAGAAGAGTAAAATATGTATGGAATTAGTTTCGAGAGATGTCGTCTATCCTAACAAATAAAAACGTCTCTTTAAAGTTGAAGGGAAAAGTTTACGTAATGTGTGAGAAGTTGTATAATCTGAGGTGGTGAAACAGGCAATTATAATGGCACATAAAGCTAAATTTAAAGAATGGAGATGAGAATAGTTAAAGGGATCTGTGGGTATCTCTGACGGAGAAAAAACCAATAAGGAATTGTGAGAAAAGATTGAAATAAAAACGATTGGACTGGTGATGAGTAAAATAGACCGATAACGATGCCTAACCGTAAAAATGGAGAAGGGGGATCAGATGGAAAACTAGCTTACCCGGGTAAATCTGAAAAACAGACAATAAACGGAGAACAGGATATATATTATATATAGCTTACTCTATATTATTCATGGAACCGGTAAAAAGGCGTTTTAAAAACGGATTTCTGTGGGATTGGTGTTGGTAAAACCGGTAGGTATTACTGGTATGGTTATTAGAGGGCAGCATACCGAGCGGTGCCCCACATTGAAATTTACTTAAATTTTTATTGTTTTGTTGACGATTTATTTCGCTAAAATTTAAGTTGTTTAAATCGTGATTTGCATATCTATCAATCAAGTTATTGTTTTTAATAATGACATTGTTTTCGGGAGATGCTGACTCCTTTTCACTGGTAATCCAAGTTGAAGGACTTACATTGCTCGTTCCCACCCTATTATCAAAGTCTATTGCATCATTGTTGTCGCTAACATTGTCTTTATCCCAATTAATATCCCTGTTAAAAGACTCGTAATTGAAAACGCCTTTGCAAGTTTGTTGAGGTTGATTGATAAATGATTTAACCTCCAATGATAAAGGGGACGTTAGGTAATGAGGTGTCAAAAACTTTTTACTGGGCGGAGAACTAGAACAGCTGTCGGTGTCTGATTCATCTAATTAATCGAAACATGTGCACAAAATATATTAATACATTATGAATAATTTTTGTTTGATTAATAAAGATGTTTTATAACTTGCAAATAGGATAATATATTATAAGATAAGAGTTTTTTTTATTTTTAAAGTTGGTTTTAATAAAATAAAAATATTATACAAATTACCAATTAAGCAAAAAGTAAAAATCGACAAATCACGAAATAATAAGTTTCATAATATTAAAAAATATTGATTTTTTACATGACGATTCGACTCTGCAATTTAAAATCCATTCATAATTTAAAAAATAAACGATTGCTGTTATATTAATAAAATAAGATACTTACATTTGCGCTTTATATTTAAGGTGCTAGGTCTTAGTACCACAACTGGGCTTACACTTCGTCTGAATTAAAAATCATATTTTGTGATTATTAGAATCTAATTTTTTTAAATAACATTTTAAATTCAATTCTTAAGCCGAAAACTATAATTAAATGTATCGAAAATAACTTAATTTTTAAATCAATTAGTATTATGTTATCATTAATCCAAAAATAACAAATTAAAATTTTTTAAAAAAGATTAAATTCTTAGGTTATATTCAAAACTTGCTTGAAAATTTTAAAAACTTTTACAAAATTTAAAAGTCTCTTAAATTAAATGTGAAACTTTCAGGAAATCTTTTTTAAAATAAAATGGTTTGGGCATGTCTATATTTTTCAATATTTATTTTCATCAAAAAAATTTCAAGTTTAATAATAATTTATAAACAAATATAATAACCTAATGCATGATTTAGCATTGGGACTGGATATGGCTCGAAAAGAATTTTGTAAATAAGGCTTAGTGTTATTGCCATTACCATAATTGTAAGGATAATTTCTAAAAGGTGACTAAAAAAATTATATAAAAAAAGTAAAATATTGAAAAAAATAGACCATTTTTTATCTTGTCAAAATAAATATCTGGCCAATAAAACTACTAACTTATTTAATTCCTTCATTAAAAAAACAACTTTGAAAACATATTTTTTTAAAAAAAAATTTATAAAATATATTATCAGTCATTCATTCCAATATTTATTCCTTCATTTATCCCTCACTTTTACCTTTACCACACAGTCAGAAGAATCGGAATCACAATTATAGTAATTATAGCTATTGCTCCCAAATATATCGCTGTTTAAATCTATACTTTCTGTCGCGATATTATTATTATCCGATAAAATGGATGGCGAAAAATTTGTCTTACCCATTTTATTTTTTCCTTTGCCTTCGTCTTCCTAAAATTTATATTATATTTAAAATTTTGACTAGTTGATTAGAAAGGATTATACATGATTAAAAGAAAGTATGGAACTGGAAACTAACTTTGGGAGTGATTCATAATCAAAATATTTAGGCTAAGTTTGTCGTATGTAAAAAAAATCTCAAACAAGATGGCGGATACTTTTTAGAACTAGATTTAAAATATAATAGGCCTTATTTGAGAAACGTTGCAATATTTTTTTTTGTAGGTAGGTAGAATGACCCTATTTTACAAGAATTGGGATAAGTTTTTTTTATATTTTTCTCAATTTTGATGCATAAAATATCGAAAAACAATGTTAATAAATTTAATCATTATAAACTCTATGGGGACTTCCTATATGACGTTTTTTGAAATATTTCAAAAAAATAAATAGTTCATTTGCTTGCAACCACTATCTAATAAGCCGCATTAATTTTTAGCGTCTTGAGAAAAAAAAATATCTGGTAGTCCCTAATTGAATCGGATGGCTTCTAAGAGATTTTAACGGTACACCTATAATATACAATATAATCCACTTATATAACGGTTCTCAAGAGACATGAAATAACGTTAGAAGTAGGAAAACTATTGGAACGTTATAAACGAGATAAATTGGGTACACTATTAATCATGCAATTAAACAGGACTCTACAGGGGGAGGCAGCGGTGAGGCCACCAATTTTTGGATCGACCGAAATCATTTGATCCCTCCTTCCCATCCCTTTTTATTATATTATTATTATCAATCGTGCATTTGTGAAAGATATTCAATTGTTAATGAAAAATTCGCAGATATTATATAAAAAAGGATCACTACTCAATAAATATTTTGATATATGATTATATTTTCTAACAAAACAGATGATAAAAATTTAATATATGCATAGGCAAACTAAAAACTGACAAAATTTATTAGACCACCAAAGATATCAAGAACCGGACCGCCAAAAACCTTGCACCGCCTTACATTTGAGTGAGGTTAGTATAAACTCTTTTTCATAAAAAAATGAAAGTAACTAAATTATTATTTTTTTGAAATTATAAATACAAGGGCAAGATCTTCCCAGGTGTTGGACAAACAAATATTGAGGTGAGTCGATTTTTCGTGATTGGCTTCCCTTTCCATCCCTTCCTCCTGTTTAATTTGATTGATTCTGGGCGAGGGAGCTTGAAACAACTTCTTATTAACCGTGCACATCGAGCTATAATGTGATTTAGATCCATCCTTTGAAAATTAATCATTACTACATATTCAATATTTTTTTAAAAAAAAGGTAAATTCATGATTATAAATCTTGAACATTTAATTTATTTTGATGAAATATTTTTATCGTGTTATTTGCTAATTGACCCTCCTTATTCTTAAAGAGTCGAGATTACTTTACATAATAAAATTACACATCATCAAATGAGAGAACCCAATATATCAGAGTTGTTAAAGTAGCGCGCTACTTTTTTTGAAAGTAGCTAAGTAGCCGCTACTTCGCTACTTTTAAAAAATATAATGATAGTGTAAACATGAAAATTTAAATATAATATCATAATTAATTATAATTTATTATTTAATTTTGAAATTAAAATATAATTTCAATTTGTAATTTATATTTTCATTTGTATTATAAACCTAAATCACGTGTTAATAATTTAAAATGTCATCGCCTATGGATATCCAAATCGTTGAAAGTGATTCAGACTATGATATTAATGAAATGGAAGATATCAGGGAAGAAAATGTTCTTAATAGCTATAATACAAATTTCCCATTCCCTAGATTTGAAAATTTTTTTAAAAAAAAAATAACCAAAACTGGTTTCAATGTTTAAAATGTAAAAAAAAATATTTCCTCATATCAATCCAATAGCAATAACCTCAATAAACACCTAAAGGTAAATTCATTTTTACATTCTAATAATATTTATTTTATAAGACTGTTCATGAGTTTTAAGGAAATTGAGAAACATCTAAATAATTTTGGTATAGGCGACTATCATCCAAAAAGACTAATTCAATTCAAACCAAATTAATTAATAATGCAAATGACAATATTTCTCAGAAATTGGCTGATAAAGTTATTGTTGATTTTATAATTTATACAGTTCAGCCAATTATCCTTAGTTGATAATCCATCATTTACCATGATTATTAAAACTCCCCTGGTACAACAATTTTATGCCGCCAGACACTAATGAATAAAATAGCAGATAACTTTAAAATGATGAAAGATGCTCTAATAGTAGAGTTATCAGAGATATTATATATATGTAGCACGGGAGATAGTTGAACACATAACAGAAGGTAAAAACTTATTTATATTTATAAACTGATCTGATTAAATATTTTTGAGCTTATTTGGGAATCACAGGCCATTGGCTAGACCCTAGAACTTTAAAAAGAAGATCTGTGGCATTAGCCCTCAAAATGTTAATAGGATGTCAGACATACGATGTACTTGCAAATAAAATTATTGATAATCTATCTTATATTAAAAATATGTATATAAGATTAAATACGCCCTTACCCTCAAGTGCTAGTGTCGAGAGATTATTTAATAGGGATGAGAATATTGAAATGATTTTATTATTAAAATGCAACAAATTACCATAAATATTTATTTTTATTACATAAATTTTTTTATAATCAAAACTAACTATATTTTAATATTTATAAATGTTGATTTTTATATATTTACTATACAATAACATTATAAGCAAAAAATAAAATTTGTAAATTTTTTTTATAAAAGTAGCTTTAAAAAATAGTAGCTAATAGCGAGCTACTTTTTTGACAAATAGCGATAGCGCGCTACTTTTTTTAACAGATAGCGCGCTACTTTTTTTAACAAATAGCGATAGCGGTAGCGCGCTACTTTTAAAAGTAGCGTTTAACTCTGCAATATATAATATTTTTTTTTTTAAATCAACCCCAAAATTATGAAACCTCCGAAAAAGAAATTTTTTTTAAATTTTTTTCTTATTGCAAATAATTTTATTTAAAAAATAGTTTCAATTTATAAATAAAATTATATACGATATGAAAATGAAATATATTTAAAAAAACAAATAATAATTTTTAATTTTAAATGATAACATGGTTTAAAAATATATATTAAAAATTATATGTAAAATATTATATATTGTAAATTTTTTCTCATAATAAAATTTATATTGTAAAACTAATTAGATAGTTTTAAAAATTTTAATTAATTTCTTTATAATTTTTAAATAAAAGAAAAATCATTTAATTTAGTAAATATAATGAGAAAGTAAAGGTGATAGCTAATATGTTTGGGATTAAAAATTTTAAACCTAGAGTAGTTTCTAGATAGTCCAATTGCTTAAATATTGATGCATCTATGATTGAGGATTTTTATAAAATAAATATTTTTACTCCCCTTATTGATACATTCTTATTTCAATTAAGGAAAGATTTATTAGTCACAATTTTATTTTAAACAGCTTTTATTTTCTTTTGCCGGTTGAGTCTAAATACGCTTGAAAGGCGAGAGGATATTAAGAAAATCTCAGAGTTTTATTCTGATGAATTATCAGGATCGTATGATAAATTACTTTGTGATGTCGAGTTTTGGTTAAAAATTTTGACAGAATAGAGTATTCTTTGAGACCAAAATATGCTTTGCAGGCCCTTTCCATGTATAATTGCACTTTAGATTCCCTGCCTAATATCAAAACCTTGCTTTTTATCTTAGCTAACTTACCGATTAGCACCTGCACTAATGAAAGGTCTTTTTCAACTTTGAAAAGGTTAAAAACCTATTTAAGAAATAGCACCGATGAAAGCCGTTTAAATGGATTCGCAATATTAAATATTTATAAGGAGATTATTCTAGATAAAAATTTGATTCTAGATGAATTAGTCAAATCTCAGAGAAAAGTAGACCTCTCTTTATAAATTCAAATTATAAAATTGCTATATTCTTATAATATGATCTTAGTCATAAAATTTTTATATTCAAAACATATTTATAATGAATTCTTAGTCAAATTTTTAATAAAAATATTGCATTTGCACTAAGAATTAGTGATCTGCATCGGGCCTAATTTTTCAAGCCCGGCCCTGCTCGGAATTATTTTTAAAAAATTTTGTCGGCCTGGCCCAAATTTATTTAAATAGAGAAATTCATTTTTATAATTACTCAAAATAAAAGATGGCGTCTAGTTTTTATAAATAAAATCAAATATTTTTATTTTACATAAAAAATTTAACATAAAATTGATATATTTAGATATATTTTTATAAAAATTCCAAGGCCCGACCCAACCCGGCCCGAATTTTTTTTAAAAATATTAGGCCCGACCCAGCCCGATTTTCCTACTTTTGCGGATCTCTAATAAGAATTATTTATGTTTTAAATATAATATACTCATTTGTATTAATTATATTATAATTGTTAAATTATATTTTTTTAAATACCGCACAAGAATTACTCATATTTTATTGTAATTCTATTTTTTTTAAATATAGTTATTTAGAATAAATTTTTAATATAATCTGTATAAAATTTATACATTTTGAAATTTTATTGTATAAATAATAAATAATAAATAATAAATAAAATCTATAATGAAATTCTCTAAAATTTTGTTATATTATATGCAAAAATTTATTTAAAATAATTATTTTTAACATAGAATAAGATATATTGAATGATCATAAAAAATGGGAGGTTTGGGGGGGAGGGGATTTTATTCTTCTTTCTACACCGAATGGATTGAATTAATTTACAATTGACTAAACATTGATAAAATTTCAAGAATAATGCTTTCAGTCGCGTATTAATCATAAATTTGGCCATTTTGTTACTAATATTTTTTTGGCTACTATAGTGGTTAGACACCAATAAAGCACAAAATTGGCAAATTTTTAAACCCCCCCCCCCCATGGATCAATCCTGGCTACGCCACTGATATCGAGAGTAGGAAAGACCGGGGTAAAGCGATTGACGGGGTAACAATGTTAATGCGATTTTTAAACTCTTTAGCATAAAGACCTTATATTTGGTGTGAGGGTGTATTTTATATCTAATTTCTTACCTATGTTCATCTTTTGAAAAAACTCTTCTGGTTTGACATATTTTGCCAAAAAACAATTTATTTTTATTCAAATATTATAAAAAATTACCTTCTGCAAAATATATTCAGACTCAGAATATAAAAATTTGTATAAAGTTCCTTTAAGGCATAGCTAGAAAATAAAATTTATCGGAAACTAGAAGTTACACAAAAAAGATTTGTTCAATATATTATAAAAATTTGTATAAAGTTCCTAAAAGGCATAGCTAGAAAATAAAATTTATCGGAAATTTATAACTTAACTAGAAGTTACACAAAAAAGATTTGTTCAATATATAACCTTGGGGTTAAAGTAGTTATAGGTAAAATTGTTAAAATGTTCCAGCTGTAAAAAGATAATTAAATATTAACGTTTATAACCATATTAAAAAAATATTTTTTAGCAAAAAAAGACATTAATAAATAGTTTTTGTGTTATTTGGAATAAAATTTTAAGAATAGTCGTAAAGGGAAAGATAATTTAAATGTACGATGTTCCTAAAATCTGCATACTCAAAATGTACCATTTTTGATATAATATTTTACATTCCGATATTGTATTGATTTGTTTATATTTAAAAGTGATGAATAGATGTCAAAATTGCAATATTTTGTTTAATTAAACAATATAGTTATGTTCAATTTTATTTTACCCACTTTACCCTGATGCTTAGCTACTTTACCCTGAAGAGGGAAAATGAAGAAAATGGCACACTTTAGATAACTAATCACGGCGACTAAAGTATTATAGGTAGAGCGCTACCCATTTTTTTATTTTGTAAAAGGGATTTAGGTACATATAAATCTATAATTTTCTGTTTTGTTTGTTTAAAAATTTTATGGCAAAAATGCAAAATACCAATCGTTTTAGGTCTCCCCCAACCATCATATGCGTAGCCTGGATATTGCTGCCCCTCCCCATAAAATTTTGTTGCCTCTTTGGGTCCACTTATTGTAGGCCATTTTTGGTTCTTATATTTTTATAAAATAATTTCCACTTTTTTCTCTAAAAATAGTGAATGATACCCGTTATTTTATAAAATTATTAATTTTGGGGGAAAGAGAGGGGTTGGGGCGTGTAGAAGGGGGGGGGGGACCTTTTTAATGATATTTACGAGAACCAAATTTTAGAAGGGGATTTCCCCTGCCTTCCCTTGACTACTGACCTTGTAAATTTCAGACAACTATGCCCTGACTTCGATCTAATATTCTTAATTTATATATATTTTTTTAAATACAAATTAAAATAAGACAAATATTGTTGGAAATATAGGATAGATACTCATTTCTAAATTTTAAAATACCCTCAGAAAATAATTTAAAACTGATATTCCGAATCTCCATACCAGTGGCGTATCCAGGATTTTCTTATAGGGGGGAAAAAATTTTTGGGGGCTTCGCCCCCAAACCCCTTCCTGGCCTTCGGCCAACTTTCCCCGGCCTACGGCCGGGTCTTATTTAGCTATTCTATTAAATTATTCATAATTTAATTATATTTCTATTTTTAACTATTATTTACTAATTCGTGCTTATGGATAGGATATTACAAGCCTCTTTTTTATTATTTCAAGATAGGTATATTATATTTAATAAAGTTTTTTTAAATGTAAAGTTGAAATAAAGTGAATGTCATTTTTTTTATAAAATTTGCTTTAAAAACTAGCCTCAGCTTAAATTCTCATACAATATAAGTAGAATATAATTTTTTTATTGAAAATACTAATAGTAGTTTAAAATATTGACTAGAAAATAATAAAATTAACAAGTTTTTTTAACTTCTTATCAAATACAAGATTTTTAATTATTTCGTTTGTCGTTGGAACCAAATCTCTGTGTATATTTAACAGAGCTAACCCATTTAGCCGAGATTCAGTACTTCGTAAATATGTTTTCAACCCTCTCAAGTTGGAAAAAGTCCTTTCATTCGTACATGTTGTAATAGGCAAACATGCAAGAATATAAAACAACTTCGAAATATTAGGAAATTGAGCCAAGGTTTCTTTACACCGATTGAGCGCATCAATAGCATGCTCAGGTAAAATAGCTAAACGTATAAATATTTATACCACAATTCGAATTCACTGATTAAATTTATTTTAGTATCAATCTCATAGGAAAAAAATTTTTCTAAATATTTAATTTTACCAATAGTGGCATTAGAAAATGAAGAAGGATCTTTGGGTAATAAAACTTGAAGATTGCTAAAGACTTGTTTTTTTATCTAAAACCCGTACTTTTATTTGCGATAAAAAAGTATCTAAGAATGGGATGAAAATGGATATTTTATAATATTCTTCAGTTGAGCCAATATTTATTTTCATCTCAATAATGGCCTAGGTGCTAGACGAGGTTTAATTAGTATTATATCATAAAATTTAGCCTTCGATTCAACGTCTACATTCATTCTTATTGTATCTACCTGTTCATGTATATTTTCCGCCAAATCAATAACCTGAACCAAATCTAAATTTGGTTTTTGTAAATTTCTACAAAGTAGTGAGCTATAGGAAAATAATTTATTGATGCAACTAGCAGCAATGATAAACTCTGATTGATCAATTGAATTCAATAATGATATCGCTGCTAACGACACATTACTTTTTTTCATGCTCAACCTTATTTATAAATTATCGTTTGATTTCAATCTCTTTGACTAAATATTTTTCTTGACTAAATATTTTTCCATTTTATTAATATTTTTGAATAATATGTTGGAAAATTGATATTCAAATATTTGTAAAATTTGATTGGTGGGATGGGGGGGGGGGATCTGGGGGGTAGGGGTAAAATTTTTATTAGCTTAAAATGATATTTATGAAAATAGTCAAATTTGCGATGGGGGGGGATTTCCCCCTTCCCCCCCCCATTGGTTACGCGCCTGCTCCATACATATCCCAAAAATACAATTCGACATTAATACATTAAATTTAAAAACGCTTATAAAACCATTACTATTTTTTAAATAGTAATTTTTAAATTTGATTTATTATATTAACATTTTTTTTAAATTTCAAATTAAAAAATCAATATAGATAGATATATACCATAACGTTAACGATCATTGGATTTTTGTGATGCATGGCTGAATAGCTATATCTTCTAAATTTATTACTAGATGATGGAATATCGCGGGATTTGAAAGTTGCAACTCGACTGATATCATAAACGAGATATATTATTTTATTATAATTAAATATATTATATTTAAAAAAGGTATTTAATTTAGTTCCATTATTAAAAAAAAAATATATTTCAAATATACTTTATACACTTATAAATATAGATAACAAAAAAATATATTATTATTAATATTCTAAAAAGAAACAACACTTTCACTTTTTATATCTATGTGTAAATAATAATTATTAATGTTTTACGATTATTTAAACCGATTTAAACAAAATGAAAATCAAATAATCATTAGTAAATTTATAATTAAGTATATATAAAAAAATATATAGTTGATTTTAAGTATTAATATGTAAGCAGCAATAAAATTTATCAATATTTGATAATGTTAAAAAGAGGTAAGGAAAATTTAAAAAATAGGTTAATTGACAATGTATTGCATTGCATTTGCGTTTAAATTAATATTTATAAGCTAATAAAGGGCATATTTAGGTATAAACATCTCCAGAAGTGTAGTCAGGAATTTGGGGGTTAGACACTAGATTAAAATAAAATTTATCTTGTTATTCTCAAACATCTAAAATTTGGCAAATTTATTGGGACTTGACTAAAAAACAATTTCTTAATAGCTAAATAATCTGTAAAATTATAACGGGATATTTTTTGGCGAACCAGCTAAATGAATCACTAAAATATGTAATTGAAAAAAAATTCCTATGAAAAATGAAATTTTTAAGCATTTTTATATACATATATATATATATTTATAAGAATTATTGATTGTGAAAAAATGGCCTTATGGTTAAAAAAAATTAAAATGTTGAAAATATAGATATGCACAAAAATACTTTTAAGATCAGAGTTGTTAAAGAAATTTTATAAGGATAGACGATCCTAAATTCGATCCTTATTTTGGCAAATTATCTGGATCGATGTTATCAAGTTATTGGTCGAGATCATTTTGTTAATGAAAGATCCTATGATCCTTTTAAAAAATATTTTTTTTACTTTATTTGAATGTGTGGCAGTGAAAACACCTTTCTTAATTATCCTACAATATATTAGCTTATTGAATTAACATCACTCACAACCCATAGCCAGCACTCTCAAATAGTAGTTTAAAAGTTAAAAGTATCATCAGCTGTTAATATTAAAAATATTCGACCATTATAGCATTCGAGATAAGTAATTGTTTACTCTAATGAGTTGTCATATAAAATCATTACAATGATTCAGCTTACCATTTACCTATCATAATCACTCCAATATAAATATTATTTGTCTTTCAACCTAGCTGTTACCTTAATTTGTCATAAATGTAATAATCCTATCAGGATTGGGTATTTGATCGGTATATGATCAATTGGCCAATATTTGACTAGTAAAATATGGTCAATTGGTTTTTATGACACTTTTCACATTATTAGGTATATACATATGTAATAACAAATATATATAATATAATATTCGTAAATAAATGCATATTATTAAATTTTGTAATATTTTGATATTCTTGTAATATTGTTTCAGTTTCACTTTGTGACAGAGTAGTTTTCTTGGTCAGTTGAATAATCATATATTTTTATGTTTTTAATTAATCTTAAATTATAATAAGCGCCAACTATTTTCCCGTAGTCAAAGTTTTCAATCGAATTCCTTTTTATGAATATTACCCAAGAGGAATTTTTTTTTCCGATGAATAAGTTGTACTTGGAAGGTTTAATAAGATATTTCCAACTTCTTTTAAAGGGCAAGGTGGACAAATCATGATCAAATAACATGCTATCTAAATATAGCATCTTATTTTTTATTTGGAAAGTGCATTTGTTTCTTTGAATTCTTAACAATGATATAGATATCAATATAAGTATATTTAAAAACTTAACATTTTTTATCAAAAATTGTACGTTCTAAGATATATTACTTATTTCTCTTGGATATATAACACAAACAGTTTATTTAAGACGGACTTTCTTAAAGCTCTTTTGCAAATTTGTATCTGTTACATACATTTGATGAAGAAGCCAATCTCGTTAATTAATTGTGCCTAACGTAGATGATATGGCATGTTGATTTATGTGGCGTAAAAATACTGCATTTGGTACATGTTTATTTTTAAAAATTTAACTTTTTTTTAAAATAATTTGTGAATTAAATACATTTAGAGTATTTGACCATATAATACCGGTCAAATACACTTTCTATCAATTGACCGATCGACTTGTCAACCCTAAATCATATTACTTTGACAAAATTTTACAAAATCTAAGTTCATGGCTCACGTATTCTTAGATGTGAGGCATCTGGTTCTAAACATATGAAAACTATAGAAACTCCCTCATCCAGCTATTGCCATTTTAACCATTTGAAAGATAATCAGTAATTTCAACCAAATTTAATATTGTCATGTTAAATAATAATAACCAAAACTTTTCCATGCACCCCAAAACCCAACATGATTTAACATTTTCCAAGAGGTGCTAGGAATATGTTTTTTTGTTTAGTAAAGAATAACACGTTCCTAATGAAAAACGCAGGTTTAAATAACATCTTTTTAAAAAATTATTATTTAAGGTTAATTTAAAAAATTATAAATAAATTAGGAGTGTACCGATACCACTTTTTGGAGGCCGATCCGATATTCCAGATATTTAATTGATATCGGGAGATTACCTATCCGATATCATATCTAATTTTGTATTATGTAAAGATACCATGGTTTTAATTTTTAATATACTTTTTATTAGTATAACATCTATAATTTAACTATTATACCATAACTTATGTCATTTAACTATATTATAATGATCAGTTATAGTTTATATTCAATTCAATTGCAATTCTAAAAATATATAAAATATTTTTATTGTTAAATCACTTTTATATAATATAAGTAATAACATTAATCTATATACATAATAGGTAATAAACAAATATATTATGAAATTTGAAATAAATATTAAAAATAAAATAATATTTAACATTAATTAGTGTTGTACGAAGTTCGCTTTTTTGAAAAAAATGATGGTTCCTTCTATTTTTGACAAACTTTGAACGTGAACGCGTTCCTTTTTTATGATGAACGCGTTCGAATTTAACGTTGGTTCAATTTTAAAAATACTTTAAATTTTTATTTATTTGAAAAATTTAATATTTCCGAATTATTTTTAAAAAGTATTATTTATATTTTTTAATCGGCTGCGTATTTCCTTTTCACATTTCAATTTTTTTAACTCATAGTTTATTAATTTGAATATTATTGTTTATATTTTAATTTAATAGATTAGCATAAGCATAGATATTATTATTTAATCCTCATCATCTGATTCTGAAAATCTAAAATCAGATGAATTATCATTACCATGGCCAAATATGATAAATGTTTTACAGTAACATCCTATATTGAAGGAACTAATTCAATGCTTACCAAGTGTAAAATGTGCCCAAAAAGTATTATATTGTCAAAATCTTCAGGTTCCAATTTAAAACGACATTTGATTGTTATATTAATTATTTTATATAATATAATATAACTAAGTAAAATCATTAAATTTGAAGAAAAAATTCATTTGGGATATTTGACCCTAACAATAACGATAGTTAATAGTGGCCTCAAATATGGTCAACATTGATAGACGCCGTATTAAATGGGATTAATAAAAGGTATTAACCCTATGACTCAATTAATTACATACATTTTATTTATTTTAAAGATTTTAACATATATATGAAGATCAATATGTTCTTTCTGCAATTATACATTCAGTATTCAAACTTCAATGGCCATGGATAAAATTTCCACAGAACGAACCTATTAAAAATAAACTTATAGCGTTATTGAAAAAAATGCTTTGAAAACCCTAGAAATTATAATGCAAGAACTGTTAATTTCGAGATATCCTTTTTTTTGTCAAGGAAGTAGAGAATGGATTGGAGGAGGATAACTTATCTCAATTCTTTGAAGCAAAAAAAACAAAACAATAATTGTTTTTAATAAATTCCCCACGTTATAAGAGTTATTTATTAAGTATAATACCGCAATCACCTCATCCACCCTTGAGCGCGTTTTTAGTATAGCTAATGCCGTATTAATTGCCAAGCGTTCTTGTCTATAAGATGAAAATTTTGAAAAATATTGTTATTAAAAATTAATAAGAAAAATTTTTTATAAATAAAAATATCTTTTTATTTAATATATAATTTTGAATTTATAATTATATTATCAAAATAAAACTATATTATTTTTTAACATGGCTAATATTGTGTTAATAAATATCAGACATTTATTTATATTAGAAAATTTTTAAAAAAATTTATCATAATTTTGAACGCGTTCGTGAACTTAAGCGTGAACGCGTTCGTGAACTTAAGCGTGAACGCGTTCAATTTTGTCAATGAACGTTGAACGCGTTCGATTTTTTTAGAAATGTTTACAGCACTAATATTAATATATCAAAGATTTATTTTAGAAATACCAAAATTTCCAATATATCAGAGGTCAGCCTGCGGCGATGGTAACTGTCAATATCACCAGCTTCACTAAAAACAGAATCTTGAAGAGATTATCGCACACTTTTATAAACAGAATGCGCAAAAAAAATAACAATATGGCAGAATGTTTTTTATTAATTATTATTATTAAAAAAATATACATAAATGGATTTCGATTTTATTTATAAAAATAAATGATTTTAAATTTAACTTTTTTTATAAATTCTAACATTGTATTTTTGTTAAAGATACTATTTTATATCGGATCGAAAAATTTTATAGATATTTTAAAATGGGTGAAATATCGGCCCGATCCGATCCGATAAAAAATATCGATACATCCCTAAAATAAATATATTATTATTTCTGTAGTATTATACATATTATTTACAAAAAAATTAAGATTATATTTTTAAATAAAATGATTTGGAAAAAAAAATTTATTTTTTTTATTGGTTTATATAGCATCGAACATAAAGTTTCTTGAGGATTTTATAAATAAGAAATCAAGATTAAAGGAATGTCTCATTGTAGAAGTATTTGTTTATTCATAAAATGATCGTGATCCTTTTTTTAAAAAAAATTCGGTTCATATTTTTGGAAAAGATCGTAATCATGATGATTCTTAAAAGGATCAATTAACAAGCCCGCTTAAGATATTTATGTAAATCGGCAAGGTATTGACTTAACAATATGTGTTCTTCTTTATTGAGTTAATTTTTCGATGAATTTAAAAGTAGTGTTGTTAAAAAGTCATTTGGATCAATTTAGAAAAGGCCCGATTAAGATTTTATCCAAACGAGATTTGGCAAATAGAGGTCAAAACCTCGGTCACCTATGAATAAAATATTATTTTGGAAATTTTAAATCGGGTTGCTTTCAAATAGACTGAAATCGGATTTACAACACAATTAATAAGTAAGGGGTAACAAATTTTTTGTTTATATTTTGAAGGGCTAGCCTGTTTAATCTAATTTCTGGAGTATAGTAATTCCTAGATTTTTAATTCTTCTTGATTGAAAAAAATATTCTTTCTATTATGCAAGCTAGTAAGTATATTAGTCAAAAATAATCATAATTTTGATATATTCAGAAAAAAAGTCTAGATTTGTAAAGATGATGATGAAGCAGAAAGCTTTCTTTTATCTGACTTAAGAAGATTTCCAAAATATTCTAAAGGTCCTATATCAATATTTGAAAGAGGGATCTTGGTCAAGGTATGTTTGGATTGCACTTAGAAATTCATAATTTATGAAATTCTGTCTTGACTTAATTTCTTTAAGCTCTGATATAATATTTCCAAAAAAATTTTATTTTTGAAATGTATAACGTTAAAGAAAAGAGATTTTTCATATAATTTTAACTAAAAAATGCCAAAATCTTATTTAAAAATCTTTAATAAGTAAACCTTTTGTAATTTTCATGCAACATAAAAATTCTTTCAAGGTAAAATGAAATATTTTTAAAAAATATCTTAAAGATTTTTTTGAAAATTTTTCTTCAAACTCTACATGAAATACTAGTGTGTACATTTATATAATTTGTTGAAATTTAATGAAAAAAAAATGAATTTTAGTGAGTCGACCTTCTTGAGGAGATATTTTTTCAGGCCCTTCTGTCTCACTAAGAGCTTTCATAATAAGCTCTAACTCAGTAAAATAAGTGATTGCTCAAAGGTTTTTTAAAAAATCAAAATAAAATTTTTGTTGGCTCTGGACTGGCTACAAACCTAAACATCTCTATGATAGTTTTAAAAAATTGACTTGTACTCTCATTAACATCACAGTTTCCTAATGCTTGTTTCATGTTTTTATTAAGTTATTATGTTACCCAATTTAAAATAATTTTAATGAGATTGAGATAATATGTAAACCATACTATCTATGCCATAAATATGCCTTATTATAATTAATTATTTCAAATAAAATTGATATCAAAATAGTAAATTAATAATAAACTTTTAACAAATAAAAATGATAGGGGTAAAATATTTAAAAATTCAACAAATAGCTTTGAAAATTTTATTAAAGTTTTGACAAAATTTATTACATTTTTTTAAGGCATTATGAATAGCTTTTAGGATTTTCTAAAAAATTAGAAAAATTGTAAGGATACATACTTTTAAAAGGGGTAATTGATATAAAAACATATATTTTATTCGCATTATAAGATAAAACAAGGCATGTAGTGTAGCACTTCATTATAAAATTCTTATATATATATATATGTAATATACATATATATATATATACATATAGAAATAGAAATAATGATTATAAGTAATACTTGTTTTATTGTTAAAAAATATAAAACTAAAGTGCATAAATAAAAAGTAAAGTTTACCTTGTAAAATTAGTTTCCCATTTTGCAACATGGTTAATATATTTGTTACTTTCCACATTATCATACAATGATTGAGTGTCATATTGTAATTCATTTCTCAGAGGAGAACCGGAAGATGACGATGGTGAAGATAATGATATAAATGCAGATGTAATAGAAACTGATGAAAAAGAGTGAGGGACACTATTTGCTCTATTTTTTCTTTTATCATAATAACTATATTCGTCCATAATTTCATAGGATAGTTAAAAAATTTCAAATGCTTTTCATTTTGAAATAAAATATATTTAAAATCATTAATTAAATAATTTAGTTCTCATAAAAATTTTAAAAGTCATATGATAGATATATAATTCTTAAGAAATAAAATTTACTGTTTTCACCTAATTTGTCTAGGCTCTGTGGCCTAATGGATAAGGCGTCTGCCTCCGGAGCAGAAGATTGTGGGTTCGAATCCCACCAGGGTCGGTTTTTGATAACATTATTTTCACAACATAATATTCATATACAAGCTTTAAATTGAAAAAATTTAGACTTTACACTTTATAAATGATTTTGATATTAATTCTCCTGCTAGGTAGAATTAAAATTATCTTTCTAAAAACTATTGTTTTTTTTACTACCAGGGTCGGTTTTTGATAACATTATTTTCACAACGTAAAATTCATATACAGGCTTTAAATGTTGAAAAAATTTAGACTTTATAAATGATTTCGATATTAATTCTCCTGCTAGATAGAATTAAGGTTATCTTTCTTAAAACTATTGTTTTTTTTACTATATGTATTATATATTATGCCAAAACGCCAAAGTGTACTCGCTAATCTGATTTGCCACACATTAATATTTCACAATTAAAAAAATGATTTTTATAACCATATTTTAGCATATTAACATATTTCTATCATCAAATAAAAAAAAAGGCAATCATTTTTTAAATTTGCCATGACCCGGCTCTTAAAAATTTTACTAAACTTTTGGCCTAGTGTTAGAACGTGAAATCACAACCCATTTTAGAACCACTACCATAGATATAGATATTTTGCTACTAGAATCACTATTGTGATTTTTATATAATTTTTTTTACATATTTTTACAATGTTTTTTTCTATTTCATGTTATATTTTAATGATAATTTATTAAAATATATATAATTAAATTTGAATTAGAATTCTTTCATCTATTTTTTAAATTTTTTCTAACAAAATTTCTTTAAATATCCTTTTATTTTATATAAAAATGTAAGATTAAATGAACTAACCCATAATATTTGTAGATGATTTTATCATTTAAAAAATTTGTATTCATCGCTTCAAATATTTTGCAGGTGCAATGTACTATTTTTACTCCGTATAAAAATTCCTCATTTATTTAGTGATATTGATCTACGATTGACGTGCATAAATTTAATACTATATTTTTTTGTGATATTGACATTTTTGACTGACTTGTAAAAATTAAATATAATAAATTTAGTGATATTGACATTTTTGACTGACTTATAAAAATTAAATATAATAAATTTAATGATATTGACATTTTTGACTGACTTGTAAAAATTAAATTTAATAAATTTAATGATATTGACATTTTTGACTGATGTTTTAGTCCTTATAAAAATTACTCGCTTATTTAATGATATTGATATTTTTGACTGACATGTTTTACTCCTTATAAAAATTACTCACTTATTTAATGATATTGACATTTTAGACTGACATATTTTACTCCTTACATTTTTGGGGCTTCGCCCCCAAACCCCTTTTGCCTGGCTTCGGCCGGGTCTCATTTTTTAGCTATTCTATTAAATTATTCATAATTTAATAATAACTATATTTCTATTTTTAACTATTATTTACTAATTCGTGCTTATGGATATTACAAGCCTATTTTTTATTATTTCAAGTTAGGTATATTATATTTAATAAAGTTTTTTTAAATGTTGAAATAAAGTGTAATGTCATTTTTTTTGTAAAATTTGCTTTAAAAACTAGCCTCAGCTTAAATTCTCACACAATATAAGTAGAATATAATTTTTTATTGAAAATACTTATAGTAGTGTGTATAGAATAATGATTGAAAAATAATTAAATTAACAAGTTTTTTTTAACTTCTTATCAAATACAATATTATACAAAATATTTTCTATAATTATAATGATTTTTAATTTTCGTGGGAATGTTGCCAATTCATCAAGAATTTCGTTTGTCATTGGAACCAAATCTCTGTGGATATTTAACAGAGTTAACCCATTTAGCCGAGATTCAATACTTCGTAAATATGTTTTCAACCATCTCAAGTTGGAAAAAGTCCTTTCATTCGTACATGTTGTAATAGGCAAACATGCAAGAATATAAAACAACTTCTAAATATTAGGAAATTGAGCAAAGGTTTCTTTATGCCGATTGAGCGCATCAATAGCATGCTCATGTAAAATAGCTAAACGCAGTAAATATTTATACAACAATTAGAATTCAGTGATTAAATTTATTTCAGTATCAATCTCATAGGAATAAAATTTTGCTAAATATTAAATTTTACCAATAGTGGCATTAGAAAACGAAGAAGGATCTTTAGGTAATAAAACTTGAAGATTGTTAAAGACTTGTTTTTTATCTAAAAATCGTACTTTTATTTGCGATAAAAAAGTATCTAAGAATGGGATGAAAATGGATATTTTATAACATTCTTCAGTTGAGTTAATATTTATTTTCATCTCTGTATATTTTCCGCCAAATCAATAACCTGAACCAAATCTAAATTTGGTTCTTGTAAATTTCTACAAATTAGTGAGCTAAAAATAATTTATTGATGCAACTAGCAGCAATGATAAACTCTGATTGATCAATTGAATTCAATAATGATATCGCTTCTGACGACACATTACTTTTTTCATGCTTAGCCTTATTTAACTTTTGTATTTCTATTTCTTCTGTTCTACGAAATGGAAGTAAAAATAAAAAATATTTAAAAAATTATAGATATATATTAATAATTAAAATATTATTTAAAATAATTATTGATTCTAACTCACTACTCATTTTGAATTTAATAAAAGAAATATATATAATAATAAAATAAATTATCGTTTGATTTCAATCTCTCCATTTTATTTTTATTTTTGAATAATATGTTGAAAATTGATAATCAAATATTTGTAAAATTTTGATTGGGGGGGGGGGGGGGTAAAATTTTTATTAGCTTAAAATTATATTTATGAAAATAGTCAAATTTGCGATGGGGGGGGGGGGGATTTCCTCCTTCCCGCCCCATTGGTTACGCACCTGTGAATATATATATGATGTGAATAAGATTCGCGATGTATATGATTTTCTTCCGAATTAAGCTTTCATTGCTGATTCTTGAAAATTTTCTTCATCATATAAAAAAGGAGTATTATTTAATAATTAAATCAACTGTATACCTTCTATGGTAGAAGAATGAAACTTTTCACTTGGTAACCTTAGAACTGTTTAAAAGTTATTTAATAAATTTTTAAAAGTTTTAACCTTTTTTCTGTCCAGCTTTAATTGTGTCATCTTGATAAATATACAAATATAAAATTAATTTATTTTTAAACTATACCTTTTCTTGTAACATAATGTTTATGTTACAAATATTTGCTCAGGTTTTTATCTGTTTCCCACAGGCACTCATTAGCTCTACGTTGCCTAAATATTATGAATATTTTGTTGTTAAAAATAATAATTTATACTTTTGCCAATCCCAAATATTGTAAAAAGGCCCAGCCAAGGCCGTGTCATTTTTCCCCCCTATCAGCTCGACGGCTGTTTCAGATAAGCACCTTATCATTTATCTTATAGGGAGTATTTTCCCCAGAATTGCGGATTCTATAATCACTCTGCTGCTTGAGTTGGGCAAGATTAATATTTCCTATGGCAACATTATGTATGTCTTGCATCTTGCAAACCTTTGAAAATGGTTTTCCCTATCTTTCTCCTCAATTGTCGGGATCTATATCATAATCATCATCATCCTTAAATATAATTAAGTATATAATATATAGTATATGATTTATAATTGGTTTATTATACCTCATAAGCTTGTATTGCTTTTCTACCATACATCAGCTCAAAAGGCGTGTCGATGATTCATGATTAGATGTGTTATAGGCAAATAATATGCCAGGCAAGGCATCTGTCTAAACCAATTGATCATCTTTAATACACTTTAGAAGTGCATTTTGGATTGTTCTATTAACCATTTCAATCATGCCATTTGCTTGAGGGTGATAAACACTTGTCACCCTCTGCATGGTCCCCACGAGTTTGTGATAATTAGTGCTAACTACATTCACAAACTCCCGTCCTTGATCATTAATTTGAATCTTAAAACTACAATTAATATTTTATTATCAAATAAATCATACTTTTGCCCTGCCATATGTGCTTAGTAATGAATAAAGGAATTTCGATACTGATTTAGCTGTTTTATTCTTTAAAGACATGGCTACAACATATTTGCTGAAGTAATCAACAGCTACTGCAATATATTTAAGGGGGATATTTTTTATTAGCTTAAAATGATATTCACAAAAAAGTGATAAATTTCTGAAGGGGAGGTGGATTTTCCCCTTGCCCCTCCCCCTGGCTACGCCTATGTAACTGCATTACATGTTTTCCTCCACACTACCAACATTCTAGCTTTCTAACACCTCTGATCCCCATCGTCTATCTGCTGCCGTCTTTTTTTGGGGGCTCCTGTAACATCTCTCCATATCTATGCTGTGCTTCTTCGCGGGCTGCATTCAACCATTTTCTGACTCCACAGAACCAACTATTTCCCTAATTTCTATCTTGATGATTCAATTTCCTTAAATAGGAGGCCATCTATAACAGAATTAAACTATAGATATATATTTCTCCTTACCTCTATAATCTTACCAAACATATTTGTTAACCCTGAATCAGGATGTTTCTCTTATTGTAACTCTACTGGATTCTCACCATCTATGAATCTCATAATTATATCAATATTTTTGAAAATCCATTATGTATATCATCAACACCTAAAATTATGATTCTCATAATTATAACTTGTTACAAAAAAACAAATCAATTATTTTTATCATCAATTTTAAAACCCACACAGTTATGATTCTCATAATTTTATCCGACTTGTTAAAAGACAAATCAATTATGTCTATCATCAACACTCAAAATTAAGATTCTCATAATTATTACTTGTTACATAAAAACAAATCAATTATGTTTATCATCAATTTTAAAACCCTTTGTTATTCCTAACCTAAACACCTAGGTCCTAATTGATTAATATGTCTTGAATATATCCCTGCTGTCCTTCAATTTCTACCTTTACCTTTTTTCTTCCTATATTCTTTCTTACTATACTCTTCCCTCATTTAATTGGACCATCAAAAGTTAGTATCCACACTAAACCTCCAAAGTTTCTCACAATATTAATAACTTTTTGCTTTACCTTTTCTTTCAAAAAAAATTCAATTCAGTTCTTGTTTTTCTACCCAAATGTCTCCCCCCCCCCTCATAAGCGGGAGACTCCCGCAATTTTTTAGTTTACACGCAGACATCTCTCTTTCGCATAACTACCGCAATTGGATCTCCCGCAAGAATCTACCGCAATTTTTTAATTTCTCCCGCAATTTTTTTTAACATTTTTAATGTATAAATAATAATTTTGAGAGACAATAATTGATGATTTTTATATTTTTAAAATAATTTAAAATATTTATTCGAAAAACATGTTTTGTAAATTTCTTTCTATCCTGTTTTATTTTTATCCAATAATAAATCAACATTATTTCATTCATATAAGTCAGTACAGGGGAGTATATCAACATCGATTGCAATACAAATATTCTCAAATAATAAATAATACAGATGTAACTACATTTGCGGAAATCGTATACATCTATCATGTAGTTCAACATTCACAGAGCTATATCATCACAATGTGGGTCGAATCTTTTTCTCATGATATTTAACGACTCCAATATACGTGCAACCCTTACTTGTGGCAGAAAAAAATGAGCAAGGCTATCACAAGTGTTTTAGTGCCTAAATCCTAGAGGTCAATTCTTGACGATTTGAAAGATGGGCATCCATATGCAATTCTAACAGAATCAACTAATAAGGGAAATATTAAAACATTTCCCTCGATCCTTTGCTATTTCAACAAGAATAAGAACATTTAATAAAACTGTTAAAATTTTTCCCTCGGATAGTGAAAAATTCAACGATGTAGCTTGCCACATAATGGTAAATAGAGCTGATTCAGGGTTATCAATGATTTGCATGTCAGCTTTCTGCGCTGATAATGACTCTGCAAATTTTAGCAAAACCAAAATTACTGAATTGAGGCAGCACAATAATAAATTAATACCAATTGGCTGTATATGCCATATACTCAGGGTTGGGCAGTATCGCGGATATTTGTATCTAAGATACAAGATACTTTTGTATCTTGTATCTTTTTTAAAATTTTGGAAAGTATCTTGTATCCAGTATCTAAGATACATATTATTTAAAAGTATTTGTATCTTAACCAACTTTGTATTCAAAAAGATACAGATACTTTAAAAAAAAATTATATTGGTTAATTTAAATAGTATTAAAATTTAAAATGATATTGTTTTAAGATTTAAATGAAAAATTTAATCAAAATTTAGATATTTTAAGATAATTTTTGAAATATGACGTTGGTCGTCATATAGCAATTTGCTAACAATTAGAACTACCATATTTGAATTGTTTATATCTGTCTATTTTAAAATTATGGAAGAAGAAAATAGAATAATATGTTTATCTTCGTCTTCAGGTGATTCTTCAACCGAAAATTATAACAATAAATTTAAACTAAGCATACTTAATGGCAAATTTTTTGAAGTTCTTCAAGATGATCATAATAAAGAAATTCATCGTGACTTTGGTATTGACGAAAAAGTTATAGCAACTGTTACAGATAACGGCCCTAACTTTAAGAAAGCTTTCAAGGAGTTTGGATATTCTATGGAAGCTGTAGAGAATGACAAATCATTGAAAGTATTATTTAATACTTCTTTAAAATTTATTATGATATTGTAAATTTAGTGAAAAATTTTATTCAAATAAAATTATTTATTTGTTTATTTAAGGGCCTAAAGAAGCCTCAATAACATTGCCTCCACACATTCGTTGTTTGTGCCATACGATAAGTCTAATTACCACAACAGATGTCGAGAGAGCTATTAAGGATTCTCCTAACATTTTTAAAATTCATCATCCTGCAATAGCTAAATGTACTAAGCTATGGAATGTAAATAATAGGCCTAAAACTGCAGAACTTATCAAAGCAGTTTTAGGAAAACAATTAGTTACACCTTGTTGCACTAGGTGGAATAGTTTGTATGATAGTCTTCATAGTTTATTAAAATTTAAAGGCGAACTTCCTAAATTATGTTAAAAATTAGAATTTCCTAAATTAAAAGATATTGAAATTCAATATTTAGAAGAATGCAATATAATGGCCCCATTGGCTATAGCGATTGACAAAATACAGAGTGAAATCAACTGCTATTATGAAGAATCAGCTCCAATTTTAAATGTCGTTAAACAAAAATTACAAATTTAATTCAAACCAATCTACAATTTTGCAAACCATTAGCTATTGCCATAGAAAATTATTTATATAAAAGATTTAAAAATATAAAATATATATGATTTTGATAACAATTTTAAAAGTGCATTTTTGGCAACTATTTCTCATCCCGATTTTAAAAATCGTTGGATTGATGGTGAAAAAGAAAAAAAATACCTTCAGGATTTGTTATTACATGAAGTTTTAATTGTTTTTAAAAATAATATTGAAATTAATACTTCAACAAAATCTTCAATCGATGAAGATGATGATTACCTTTGCCTTAAAAGTACCACATCCAATTCTAAAAATTCAATAAGTGATATTGAAATAGAGGTCCTAAATTATATGAAAGATGACAGGCGGAGTATAAATATGTTAAATAGTTATAAATATATAAAAGAAATATTTATTAAATATAACACAATATTACCCTCCTCAGCACCCGTTGAAAGATTATTTAGCTTTGCTAATATGGTTAATAGACCAAATCGTCAAAGATTGAACGATAAATCATTTGAAAAATTAATAATATTAAAAAATAATTCTGATATATGATGCTGATTTATTATTATTTACTAATTATATAATTATTAAATGGAATATCGCATTATCTTTTATAATAAATTTGTTATTTTCTACAATTTATTTTAAATATTTTTTTATAAATTTATATTATAGATAAGAAAATAAAGCTTTATACATTTTGATTTTGACTATTTAAAGTTTTTTAATCTTGTATCTTAGATACCTTTTTTAAAAAAAATAAAGTATCTTGTATCTTATATCTTATTGAAATTTTTCTAAAGTATCTAGTATCTTAAATACAAAATTTTATTATCTGTATCTGTATCCGAATACAATTTTCTGAAAATTTGCCCAACCCTGCATATACTACATAATTCTGCAATAAATGTACTATCTGTGGATGTTGAAATGATGAAATGTTTTAACGAATTTAGTCATCAACTAAAAGATTTAATGAATTAAAAGAGTTAGTGAGGTCTGACTTGGAATGGTGTGAGTTGTTGCGATATATACCTATTAGGTGGTTGTCATTAATACCTGCCATCGATAGAATTTTAAAATTTTATAAACCCTTAAAAAAAAATACTTCTTAAATAAAGATTTTAAAAGCTGTCCTAAAATTTTGAAAAATTTTTTAAAGTATGAAATGGTAGAAGCATATTTGGGATTCGTTTCACATGTAGGAAATCTACTTCATGCAGTTAATATTCAGTTGCAATCATAATATTCTTTATAAAAAATATTCACAAAATCATGCTACAGCGCTGTTCATCTCTACAGTTAAAAATTGATAATATATTTTATGGCGCTATTGCTAAAAATGTTATATTATAATGTTCAAATAATACTCTAATTAATACATTTTTAAATGAAGCAGATATTTTTATTAAGACAATTTTAGAATATTTAAAATCAAAATTTGATTTTATTAACTCTATTTACAAATGTATAAATATTATGACCTTGGAACAGAAACCATCAATTAATGGTTTTTATAATTAATAAATATATTTAAAATACCGAAAGACATTGATTTGTTGTTTGAGGAGATTGTAATTCTCTCTATTTTTTATGATTCGCCAAAATACTTAAAGTTAGATAGTCTAAAAGCAGAGGAGAAATGGGTAGAATTTTTTCGTAATAACGATAAATCCACATGCTTGGAAAAAATATGCGAGTATGTCTTCTCCTTACCTCATTCTAATGCCTCATCCGAGCGCATTTTTAGCCTGATGAGGACTGCCTGGAAAAAGGAGAGAAATCGGATTGCTTTAACAACATTAGAGGCCGAGCTAATGATTAAACAAATATATAATATGTCATGCCAGGAATTTTATAAATATCTCAATAACGACGGTAAACATTTAGTTCTATTATTTAAATCTCAAATAAAATATAATTAAGTTTTAGCAATGGCGCCATAAAATTTATTGTCAATTTTTAACTGTATAGAAGAACACATCTGCAGCATAATTTTGTGAATCTTTGTTAAGATTCTTCTGATTGCAACTACACATTAACAGCATGTAGTAGATTTCCTTCATGTAAAATCATTCCTAAATATACCTCTGCCATTCATTACTGAAAATAACTTTAAAAATGTTAGGGCAGCTTTTATAATCTTTATTTAAGAAATATTTAAAGGTTTATATAATTTTAAAATTCTATAGATAAGGGGTATTAGGAACATATCGCAACCAACATTGTGCTAACTCAATTCTGTAAATGCACTCTGGTTTTTTCCAAATTCACTCAGGCAGATCAGAAAGTTGACATGTAATTTATTGAAAATCCCGAATCTGCTATATTTACCATTATATGGTTAGCTATGTCTTTGGATTTTTCGATATTTGAGGGGAAAAAATTTAATAGTTTTATTGAAATGACCATAATTTTGATGAAATAGCGGAGGATCAAGGGAAATATTTTAATATTTCCCTTATTAGATGCATCTGTTAGAATTGCATATGTATGCCCATTTTTCAAATCGTCAAGAATTGACCTCCTGGATTTAGGTCCTAAAACATTGATGATAGCCTTGCTCATTTTTATCCTACAAGTATAGTTTTCATTTATATTAGAGTCGTTAAATATTATGGGAAAAAGATTCTACCAACATTGTGATGATAAGTAGCTCTGTGAATGTTGTACTACAAGATAAGTGATTAAAATTGCCGCTACTGTAGTTTCATCTGTATTATTTCTTTATTTGGAGTACCTTATTATGTATTTAAACGTGATACGTGATAATTAAGCGCCTATCCCTATAATGTTAGTCACACACACTGTATATTTCCAATTGCGGTCGTTTTGCGGGACATTCGCATAAAATATATTTTTAATTGTAAAATTAAAATCGTTTTTTTTTATAAAATTTTATCTTGTTTACATATTTAAAAAAGATCGTTGGTTTTTTTTATAAATTAATATATTTTAATAAATCAAGATGTTATTTTATTTTGAAAAATAGTTACCGACTTTGTATTTATATAAACTAAATAAAAAATAATAGGCGCTCGCAAAAAATTTTTTTTTAGCAATTATATTTATACCGCAAATTTTATATTTCTCCCGCATACCAAATTTCTCCCGCAATTTGAAAATTTTGACTTGGCAACCCTGATCTCTGCTGGCGAATTTCTTTTGCTAGTCTTAGTGATGCTAATAACAATAATCACCATTTTTCTTCTCCATACTTTTCTCTTTTTAACCAACTTTTAACAATGACTACCATTCGCAGCTTGTCCATTACTTCTTGGATAATGTGGTGGCGATAATAAATGTTCAATCTTCCTATTACAAAACTTGTCAAATGGTTTGCCTTTGAACGCTAGACCACCATCTCATAGTAAAGTTTTCATTAATCCATATTTACTTACAAAATCTTTTACCTTATCCAAAGCTACATTTGTTGATAGGCCTGACACCTGTTGGCAATCTAGTCATTTTGAACCTGCATCTACCATAATAAAATATTTTATCTTTTCATATTCTAAAAAATCTGCGTGTATTCTTTCACATAGAACATTTGTCTCTGGCCATTTATCTTCCCTGTTTTTTGCTGGAACATTAGCACACATATTTCATGTTTCACAACTCTTAGCTAAATCTTTTATTTTACTATTCATCCTGGGCCACCAAATGTACTCTCGTGCTTTATTCTTCATTCTTTCTATATCTTTATATCCTGTATGTACCGCTGCTAAAATATCTTTTCTTAACTTATTCGGTATCACTAAGCAATATCCTCTCAATAAACAATTGCATTCTATATTTAATTCACTCTTTATGTTTTTAAAGGCTTTGTCTTCACTTTTTAATTATGTATCTCCTTTCAAACAAGCTCTAATTTATATTAATTCTTTATCTTGCTTGGTTTTAATCAGTGACGAAGCGTCCATCCCTTGAAATTTTTTTTACAAAATTTTTAAATAAACTTAATATAATCTTTGTACTATGCTAAATAAACTAAACTGAGTTGGTTAAAAAATTAATATAATTTTTATAAATATAATTTTTATAACGTTCAACAGCAAGTGCAGAACGGAGTTTTTTATCTTTAAAAAGAATCAAATCTTATTGCAAACCTAAATAAATAAATGATTTTTAATTCATCATGCAATACTTACCAATCTGCAGAACTCCCACAAAAGTCTTCCTAACCTTTTTCAGATGGTGATAGAAAAAAAAATATAAAATTTTTATCATGAAGTTGTTAAATTATTTTATGATGCCTTATTAGCTAAATAACTATGATTAAAAGATTAACTATGGTTGATATAGTCCCAAAAAATGCTATGGTTGCTTTGCATTATTGCAAACACATTTTCGATTATATTTCCACTGTATTAAAATGGTTATATCAACTCTTCCCATTAGTAAACTAATGAGAGAACATTCTCTTTTTTAAGAAGAATAACAGAGCCCTGCAGAGGTACTATTTGCAGGGCACGGCCCGGATTTTTTTAAAAATTTTTTCGGCCGGTTTTTTAAAAAAAAAATCAGGCCCAGCCCGACTTTTTTGAAAATAAAATTTTCAGGCCTGGCCCGAATTTTTTTAAAATAAATTATATTTATTTTTGATTTTTATAGCTAATAATGGCGATTTCAAATATTTGGTTTTAAAATATATAGCTCGGCCCGGATATTTTTTCTAAAAAATTTTCAGGCCCAGCCCGGGTTTTATTACGGGCCCGGCCCGGGTATATTTAAAAAAAATTACGGGCCCGGCCCGGTGTAACGTTTTAAAAATACTCCATTTTTTTATATACTCCTTTAAGCTTATTTGTGGAGTATTTTCAGATCATATTATTCGATTATAATGTATTTACATATCAGAGTATATTTAGATCAATGTAATTTTTATAATGATATTTTTTTGAAAAAGTGCTCATGTCGATCAAGAAACATTATACTGGAGCTGATGATGCTGAGGCGATTTTTTTGAATTTCCAGTCAAATTTTTTAGGTCGCAAAGGATATTTGCCCCGTTGGCGCCTTTTTTAAACTCCATTTTAAAAAATAAATACAGGTTCATATTCATATATTTTACATTATAAATTTTATTTTATTATAGAAAATAAAAGAAGCTATAAATTTATCATTGATTCAAGAAGCTAAAGATTTATTATTGATTCAAGAAGCTAAAGATTTAAAAATACAGGTTCATATTAATATATTTTACATTATAAATTTTATTTTATTTTAGAAAATAAAAGAAGCTAAAGATTTATCATTGATTCAAGAAGCTAATCATTGATTCAAGAAGCTAAAGATTTAAAAACAGGTTCATATTAATATATTTTACATTATAAATTTTATTTTATTTTAGAAAATAAAAATTTAAAAACAGGTTCATATTAATATATTTTACATTATAAATTTTATTTTATTTTAGAAAATAAAAAAAAGCTAAAGATTTATCATTGATTCAAGAAGCTAAAGATTTATTATTGATTCAAGAAGCTAAAGATTTATCATTGATTCAAGAAGCTAAAGATTTAAAAACAGGTTCATATTAATATATTTTACACTATAGTTTTATATATTTATTTTAATTATGTCATTATATCTTAATGCTAAATTTAATTCTATACATGAATTAAACGATGCCATATCTATATATGAAAAAGAAATTTTTTTAAACATAGTTATTAATAAATCAGACTTATTAAAGGAACCTTATAGCAAAGCATTTATAGCTCAATATAAATATAATCAAGTTTATTATATATGTAAATATGGACTGAAAAAAAAATCCAAGTCTAGAGGTATAAGATCCTCATCTAGTCTTCGCAAGGAATGTATTTTTATGTTCACAGTCTTTCTTCAGTGTGATAAACTAAATGTGTATTCTTTAGATATTGTCACATTTGTAAAAGATCATAAAAACCATGATCTAGGTTAGACATATTTATTTGATTTTTAACTAACATAATTTATATAATCAAGATAAAAAACTATATGAGATGCTCCCTAAACAAAGAAGGCTTTCTCCAATAAAAAAACAAATTGTGGAGCAAGCTATCACTTTTAAAGCTAATAAGGTGAAAATACAAGAATATGTTCTTAATTCAGGTCAGATGATGACTCTGAGAGATATTCATAATATTTCAGCCAAATTAAACAAGCCATCTGATAATATATTACTTGATGTAATAAATCAATCAGGGAAGATAATGGAGCTGTGGTGGAAATCCTAGAAAATGATAGTGAATTGTTGGGCATTTACTTTCAAGATGCTAGCATGCTTCATTATCTTAAATATTATCCTGAGGTGATATTCATTGATGCTACCTACAAATTAAACAATCTAGGTATGCCACTGTTTATTCTACTTGTAATAGATAGTCATGGACAATCTCAAATTGTCGCTTTATGGCTTGTAAAGGCGGAATTTTTTATATAATCTTTTATATTTTATAGATATCAATAAAAATCACTTTATCATCATTGGAGGAGACCTTAACATGAAATTATGTAATGAAATCACTAATTCTCTTATTGGTTTTGCTACTTTAAATAATCAACTTTTTATAAACAAAGAAACAATAAATATCACACATACTTCAAACCCTCAAACAAATATACTCCTATAATCCTTAAAAAATATAATATCTCTAATATTAATTTACCAACCCCAGCAAATAATTTTCTACATAATTTGAATCAAATCAACAATAATGACTCATGGTTAAACATTTCAAACTCAATTATCAAACAGCAAATACCCATCTTAATATTAATTATCAATATCCTGATTGGTTAGAATTAAGTTTGTGACTAGTTTTTGTCTGCATCCCTTAAACTTAAACTCTCTACTGGACCTTAAACTTTAACATATAACTCAAAAATGTATTACATATCTGTTTGTTTAATTAGTCATTTTTGGTTGGGCTTAATACCTTTAAGCCTTGATTTATCTATTCCCTTGTTACTTTCACCCTCAATTCCCCTTTTACCAAGATGCTTATTAAGAATAATATATTATCTCCCTGATACCATTTTACTAATTTAGGGAATGACTAAAATACGCGTCCCCGAAAACTACGCGTACCCAGTCAAAACGACTTATTTCTATTATTATCAATAGGAAATCTTATTAAGCTTTATAAGATAAGTTAAAAAAAAGTGTTTTTTGAAAAAATCACTAAGTTATAAAATAGTTTAAAATATAATATTTACATATTCTGTATTCTTTTAATAAGCTAAATATGAATCCGTTTTGATTTTTTAAAAAAAACTGTATTTTGACCGGGGACGCGTAGTTTATTTTTTAAAAAAATAAATTTTTGTAAATTTTATATAGTTACCGTATTTTTTTTAAATTAAAAAAAACATTTTCTAACTTATCTTATAAAGCTTAATAAGATTTCCTATTAATAATAATAGAAATAAGTCGTTTTGACTGGGGACGCGTAGTTTTCGGGGACGCGTATTTTAGTCATTCCCCTAATTTATTCCCCTTATTTTATTTTTTAGTTGTTTTTTAATAATTAAACCAAGCTCTCCATTTTTTTATTAATTTTACATTAGTTTATATTCTTGTTACCTTTTTGACATTATACTTTTGCTACAACTTACAAGCAACCCATTATTTCATCATTAAAAGATACACAAGTGTTTTAAATAACTCTGCCAAACTACATTTATATTTTTTGAATTTTAAAGGCTCCAAATATTATTAAGATTTGTTCATTAAAACTTTTTATTAAAGAGTTAAAATATTATTAAGATCTTTTTATGAATTTTTTTTTATTCTATATATATTGTTTTATAATTAGGTATTTTAACATTACATTATGTTATAACCATATTAACCAAATTGAAATATTCACAAGAAGTTAAATAATATATACTTAATTTCTTTTTCTCTTTCAGGTTATTTTGCAATTGATATGAAAATATTAATCAAAATATCTATAGTAGATTTTAAGCTTAAAATCAGCCACCTCCCACCCTTAAAATAATTAAATTATCTTGTAATTCTCGGGTATAGGCTTTTGTTTTGTCCAACTTCTTTTGTTATTAGCTTATAGACGTTTAAATAACAGTTTTCAAACTGTTGTGCGTACAAGTACGTGCGGCTTGCCCACAAACGTGTGAAGGGCTCCTCATTTTCTTCCCCCAAATTAATTTTCCAGTTTGATGGTTTTTTTGAGGAAAACCTAGCGTAGCTCTATTGTATCCGCAATATATCACGTATCACATAATTTATTATTTATTTCTATATTTTTAAGAAAATTTATTATTTATTTCTATATTTAAGATAATTTTTAGTTGTATTTCCTGTATTTGCAAATGACATTAGATTTAGAAACAAGTATTTATTTCTTATTTTTAATTATATTATTTATTTCTTATTTTTAAATATATTATTTATTTCTTATTTTTAAATATATTATTTATTTATTATTTTTATATATAATAATTATTTCTTTAAATTTATTTTTTATTTTATATTTTTAAATATAAAAGATTTTGAAGAAATAAAAAACTTCATTTTACCCAAGAAGTATCCACTATATTTAGCTGGCAACCATGGAGAAAAAAAAATTTCCGTGTCAAAGCCGCTAGATATAAAATGCTCAATGGTAAATTATTTCACCATTCCCACACTGGTGAAGTAATTATCGACTCTATAAAAAGAAAGGAGCTTATAAAAACAGTCCACGGTGGTTGTGATACCAATATTGAAGCTACATCACTTGCTGCCCATTTTGGTATCACCAAGACTCACAAAAAATTGGCTGATAGGTAAAATATTTAGATTATGTTTAAAATAATATAAAAACAAATTTTATTTACACAAATACTTCCAATATTTAACAAATTCATGTTTTATTAGGGACTATTAATAAAGGTATTAATAAATGCCATAATATATGAATCATAATAATATTTCTAGTTATATGATTAATATTATTTTTTAGCTTCTGGTGGCCAAATATGAAAGATGATGTAGTCAAATTTATCAATTCTTGTGACATCTGTCAAAGGTGTAATACAAGATTTGATAAAACTACCAATGAGTTACAATAAATTCCTATTAGAGCAAAGGTAGTAAAATATATAAAAATCATTGATTTGTTAAATTTTTTATAGTTTTAATCATTTTAACTGTATATAATTTTTTTTAGATATTTTATTTATAGTCTTATTAATGGTATGATACTATTATATATATATGACACTTGTTTTATAATTTGTTATTTTCGCATATTGTATCATTTAAATTTTAAATTAGTTTATTATACCTGCCATCCTTATAGAATTTTTTTTTTCAGTATATCTACAACCATATAAAGTGGTAAGTAAATTTATTAAATTATCCTTTGAATCTTTTTACATTATAATTTATGACATTTTTTTTAGCTTATCCTATATTATTTTTCTCACTTAGCCTTAATCCCAATTTTTAACCATACTAAAGTTCATTAACAAGCTTAACTTTTTTCACAGTAGAATATATATAACATTAATCTTTTATTTTATAAAAGGTATGGTCACAAATAGGAGTTGATTTGTGTACTTTGCCAGAAAGTGAGGATGGCTATAAATATATTGCAGTAGCTGTTGATTACTTCAGTAAGTATGTTGTAGCCATGCCTTTAAAGTATAAAACAGCGAAATCAGTATCGAAATTCCTTTATTCGTTACTATGCACATATGGCAGAGCAAAAGTATGATTTATTTGATAATAAAATATTAATTTTAGTTTTAAGATTCAAATTAATGATCAAGGACGGGAGTTTCTGAATGAAGTTAGCACTAATTATCACAAACTCGTGGGGACCATGCAGAGGGTGACAAGTGCTTATCACCCCTCAAGCAAATGGCATGGTTGAAAGGGTAAATAGAACTATCCAAAATGCACTTCTAAAGTGTATTGAAGATGATCAATTAACTTGGACAAATGCCCTGCCTGGCATATTATTTGCCTATAACACATCTGATCATGAATCTTCGAAGTTCACGCCCTTTGAGCTGATGTATGGTAGAAAAGCAATACAAGTTTATGGGGTATAATAAACCTATTATAAATCATACTATATATTTTATAATATTTAAGGATGATGAGGAAAATGATATAGATCCTGACAATGTTGAGGAGATAGATAGGGAAAACTATTTTCAAAGTATTGTTTGCAAGATGCAGGACATACATAATATTGCCATGGGCAATATTAATCTTGCCCAGCTCAAGCAGCAGAGGGATTATAGAACCCGCCATACTGGGAAAAATGCTGCCTATAAAATAAATGATAAGGTGCTTATCTGGAACAGCCGTCGAGCTGATAGGAAGGGTGGAAAAATGTCACGGCCTTGGCTGGGTCCTTTTACAATAGTTGGGATTGACAAAAGTATAAATTATGATTTTTAACAACAAAATATTTATAATATTTAGGCAATGTAGAGCTAATAAGTGCTAGTGGGAAACAGGTAAAAACCCGACCAAATATTAAATGTTAATACTTTTAAAAATTTATTAAATAACTTTAAACAGTTCCTATGTCAAGTGAAAAGTTTCATTCTAGTACCATAAAAGGTATACAATGGATTTTATTATTTAATAATATTCATTTTTTTAGATGATGATGAAAATTTTCAAGAACCAGCTATTAAAAATCTAAAGCTTAATGCGGAAGAAAATCATATGAAGGGTAATATTTTCATATATTTAATATTAAATCTTTTTTGAAAATATCTATAATGAATATACTAAATTCGATAGTTGGAGAGGATTATAATTGTATAAACAAAAAAGGTATAATAAAAAATATCTAATATACATATTTTTTTAGATGATGGAGTTAAGACACCAGAAAAAGCATCGAAAATGCTAGAGCCTGATGACATTCGACCTTTTGGTAACATTTTTAAGATTTGATAAAATCAATTTTTTAATTTAATAGGTGCCCCGCCTTCCAACTTGAAGATTGTAGATGGCGAAGTAAACAAGCTTAATAGGAACGGTATAAATTTGCATAATTAGTAGATTTATACATATTTTTTAGATGATGAAATTATATTAGAGACATTGGTTTCTAAAAAAGATGTTAAAAATCTTTTTATTCCTACAAATAGGAATTGGAAAATATACCACTCACTTCGCTATAATTGGGATATCAAGAAAAGATATCCCAAATTTAAAAATGGCATCATGAGTGAAAATTTTTCCACTGAAAGGATAATTGGCGATGGTAATTGTCTTTTCAGGTATGGATAATTAAAATAAATTAAATTGTTAATCATTATTATAGATGTATAAGCAAAGAAATTTGCGAGGATGAATGCCACTATCACTTCCTGAGATCGGAATGTGTGCGCTTTATGAAAAGTAAAGACATGGCAGAGCAGATGGAGGGGTTTCTGGGAGAACCCGTTGAGGCATACCTGGAGAGGACGGGCATGGCTCAAAATGCCGTTTATGGTACAGAGGTGGAGATAGTTGCAATGGCAACTATGCTCCAGACAAATATTTTAATACATACTATTTATAAATGGGCATACTATATGCCCATTAAAAAATTAAGTAATATTAAAAAATTTAATGTAAATATTTATTTAATAAACCATAGCGAACATTTTGATCGCATAATTAATTTTAATTAATATTTATATCGCATATATTATTTATATCGCATATAGCATATATTATTTATATCGCATATAGCATATATTATTTATATCGCATATAGCATATATTATTTATATCGCATATATTATTAATTGATTTTTTTATATTTATATTTACAAATTAAATAAAGGATTTTAAAAAATTATTCTGAAAATTGTTTCTAACTTTGAGCAGTAACGTGATAATAGATAGTGCAAGATTTATATGTTAATCTTTGATATTTTCGTATTAAACCTTAAATAAATATATAAATTTTTAACACTTAATATTAAATCTAATAATTTCTAAAGAGAATAAGGCAAAATTGCCTTAAATATCATAGGACATAGAAAAAATAATATTTATTATTCATACGTCAGTTTTAAATGCCAATTCACTAAATTTATTATATTTAATATTTATATGTCAGTCATAAACGTCAATATCACTAAAAATGTAATATTTAATATATGCACGTCAGTCATAAACGTCAATATCACTAAATATTGGAGTATATAAAAAAATGGAGTATTTTTAAAACATTACACCGGTTCATATATATAATTTTTTTAATTCACATTAGTTTAAAATTGTGTATTAGAAAAGTTATTAATCCTGATAAATTTATGCTTAGTATTTTTAATTAACAATAATATTTCTTAAAAAATTTTATTATCCCCCACCCAGACCAAATTCCTGCGTACGCGCCTGAAATAGTTGTATAATAAAATAATACATTTTAATGAGAAAAAAAATTTGGAATAAGTGTTTTCCAATAATTTTCTTGCTTCTGAGGAAATATTTCTTTCAAATCATTATGATATTTCAGTAATAGCATTAATAATCGGCTCTTCTAACTCCATAAAAGCTGTTACTTCTTGATGGCGGAGACTCGATCTCGTTGGACAAGCTTGCAATTTCTTTCTCCCTGTTAGACAAGGAGTTTCAGAGATAATTATTATTTGACTAGAAATTTAGATAAATATTATGCCACTTAGTAAATATTCCAAGGAAAACTTGAAATCGAAATTAATTTATAAAATAACTTAGTAAATGAATGTGATAAATAAGTGTAATTAAATATATATATGAGCTAGAATAAATATTAACAAATATAAATAAATATTAACAATAATATTTTTGAAAAATATAATCCGGCATCTGCATTTTTTGGCTTTGTGGAGGATTTGCCCCCCTATGAACCTCAACCGGCCTTCTCTCACATAAAACTATTCTCCAATATTCAAAATATTAGTTATTATTAAAAATAAAAAAAAAGATTCATTGTGGCATTATTATTTATTCACTCAATAGAACGTTAAGAGCCACAAACATTTCCTTCACTGCACTGGAACCCAATGGTTTCAGCGCCGACAACCAAACAAGCACCGATGGAATAAACCGAATCCCTTGGAATCAAGGTGCATCCCTTGCTTGGGATTATACTTGCTTAGATCGTTTAGCCAGATCATTTCTACCAACTCCATCAGTAGCAGAGAAACTTAAAACCAATAAATATAGTCACCTAAATTATTCATTACAGTGATTTAGGCACCATGGTTCATTTGGATTTCAATCCCTAAGATGATTCGTAACAATCATACAAAAGTTACGTGTAATCACAGGTGATCAGGCAATGTATATCTATCTAAATTCGTCAATAGAGCTATATTTCTATATATGGTTCATTAAGTCCTGCTGACTAACTTGTAGAGTTTTTGTTTTTTAATGGGTTTATTCTTTTAAATATTGTATTATTTATTATATATTTTTATAGAGACAATATATTGTTTGTTAGTATCTTTTATGTATTTTAGATTCCCAATGATAAACAGTTTATAAAGTTATTATATATATTTTTAAAAAAATTGGTTCTAAGTTTTTCATCATTTTTTTAAATTAAATTATTGCGTTTTTTATATTGTATTATGAAGTTATTTTATTTATTATTTTTATAAAATACAATATATAAAAAAATTCCCAAAAATTTTTGGCTTATTTTGCTCTTACCTACTTAGTAGATGCATTAATAAATGGAATTGATAAAAGTAAACTTATTATTATCAAATTACACTTATATTGTATCTATAGGATTGATAAAAGTATGCTTATCATTATTAAACTACACTTATACTGTAATCTTTATAGATTTAAACATATATCAGTATAATATCATTTTAAATTATATTCATTTAAAAGTAAACAAAACTTAATATTTTATATTTAATTTGGCAAAAAGTCTTCTTTCATGTGATTATTAAACAGTCCAAGAAATTTAAAAAATTTGCTAACTAAGCTTTATATTCAGATTATAGATAAAGAATGGTAATATTATCTAGCATAATATTATAATTAACGAATCGTTTTTTAGAAATCCAAGGACCCAAAACAGAATTCCAAATCAATAACATCAGATATTACACAGGCATTGGAAAAATTTAGCAATGATATAAAAAAGTAGAAGACAGGGATATGACCAAATCGTTAATACTGGAATTGGTATATATTCTGTTCAAATAAGAAAAAGAAATCAACCCAAGGACGAATTTATACATCGTATACACATTTGGAACCTTGTCCTAGATGATGCTAAGTCAAACATTGGCAAAACAAGAAACTTCATTCAAAAAAATGTTTATAGTAACTATGACTAAATGGGGCATATTAAAAATTAGAGCCTTCAAGGAATCTAACAATTTTAAGATATTTAAAATATTATATCTTACAAGATTATCATCCATGATTCAATTTTGTACAAGCACTATAATATTTAAATCAATTTTTGAGTGAAAGAGGATACTATGTTACTAAATGAAAAAATTTTATGTTTCAGTGCGAATTATTGGAAAATGGCAACATCGTTTCAAAATATTTGCTCCATTGACTTAAATCTAAAAACTACAATAAAATATTTCGAACTTTCTTATAAAAGTATAGAAGAATGCCCCTTACTCTCAACCCTTCCCTTTACAAAAATATAACTTATCAATCCCAAACAATCCTTTTCTAATAATTAAATAAATACCAACAATAAACATTACCAAATAGGACAACCACATTGTTTAATTTCATGTTATACCATATTTTATTTATGTTCACATCAAAATAATTTATAAATGTTTCATACTCATAAAAATAGTTCAAATCCCAATATTTTTTGTTCTTTCCCAGCTGGCATCTTCTGATCTCCCCTTCTCTCTTCTTCCCCCAAGGAAAATTAATTGTTCATATCATAAAAATAACTGACATTCAGTATATTATATTTATTTCTTCTTTTTTCTAACTGCTACAGCAAAAAGAATAAGAAATTCTTTTTTAAGGATTATAACAAACGCTGAAGAAATGGTCGAACATGGATTATCATTTCGAAAAGGAAAAAGTTCCAAAAGTAAAAAGGAATTTTGTCCAGATGATTGGCTTAATAAAGATAAATATTTTAAGGCTAATGTTTACATTACATTTATTGATATAATCACAAATCAACTGGAAAAACGATTTTGCAAGCATGAAACTTATTAAAATACCTCTGATTTTTAAACCAACAAAATCGTTTAAACTTTCCTAAGCAAACTATTTTTTTAACCAAGCCAACAATTTTATGGCAAAATATTAACTTGTTTTAGATCAATCACCCTGATAAAATTTTTGGTTACCATAGGAAATTAAAAAAATACACTATATGATTTGGCTAAGTTTATCTTAATTGTTATTTCATCGATAGCCGGGCGTCTCTAAACTTTTAGCACCCATGTTTATATTTTTAATTTTACATGTTAATACTACAGCATGGCAGAATGTAATTTTCCAAAACTAAAAATTAATAAAAAAAATATCTTCTAGTTCAGTATCACAATTCAGATTATCTCATGATAAGTATTGAAGAGACAATACAGTCTTGTTACGGAGAATAAGTTTATAAATTTTCTATGAAATCAAAATGATGCCGAATATTTTTTTCAAATATCTAATTAAAATATTAATGCTAACTTTTATTATAGTAAATTTTTATAAATATAGATGTCATACATTTATACAATTGTACTCTGTAATTATTTTCGTGCAATAAAAATTTATTGATGTGTATGTGTATCTATGGAAACGAATTTTTTTTAAATATTAAGACCTGTGTAGTTTTTTCGTTGAGCCTCAAAATCATATTCATTTGAGTGTCTGGCGTTCTAATATCGGAACAAGAATAATAAAATTAATTATTCAACACAAATGAATATGAAAACAAAAACTATTATAGAATTAATTTTTTTTGACAAAATGGACTTAATACAAAAATAAAATATAACAGCTAATAAATAAATATAAAGATCAGTCAACAAAAGGAGAAAAAAAATTATATAGAAATAAGTTCCAGCATAAAAAATGAAAATATTCCAATATCGAAACACTGGGCAAAACGGCTACAAATTATTTTTAATAACATTTTCTCTTTAACATTTAGCTATTTTTTATCTTTTTTCAAAAAAATTTATTCTTTTGAATGAAGTTCAAGTTTTGATTAATTTACATTTTATTATAAATCTTGCCGTATTGGAATTATATATAATCCTAGATATATTTCATTATTAATTTAATCATTTTGACATGGGGTCTTTATTAAAAATAATGTAATATGAAATGATTGTTAAACCTCAATCTTAAACACTAAATACAGCTCAAATATTTTTACAAATTTTTAAAATAATGGGGCTATTTTCATATCTTAAAAAATATAGAATTTTATTAGCTTGTAAAAGATCAGATTCTAGCTTCTGTATCTTTTATAATCTGCACATTCATTTATAATATATAAAAATGATAAATTTAAAATGAAAAAGATTTCTGATTTAAAGCTGCCGGATAGCATCAGGGTATAATGAGGTTGACAAAAAATAAGTGGCGTATAACCAGACTTTTTACTTCGATGATGCCAAATATCATACATTCATAATTATTTCCAAAATAAATGACGAGCAAAAAAGTGTAAAATTAAATTTATTTGCAAATATACCATATTGTAATCAATATAATAATATAGATTAAATGACAAAAATAAAAATATTATGTTATTATATAATAAAAATAACTTTAAAAGTAATAATCTCGTTTTAAATATTAGATTATTTATATTTTAAGAATTTGATAATTATATAATCAGTTGATTATTTAATAATAAATGATCTAAGCTTATAATGAATAGTAAGATTAGTCGGTCATATTGTCGATCCACCCGTTTACATACGCTATAACATCATTCACCAAGCAAATAAGAAGTAATAGGAATAGAAAAAAATATTTTAAGATACTTAACATTGTTTTTGAGAATCGTTAATATTTTAATATAAAACAAAATTTTTTGCCATTAATAATTCAATATTAGGGGAGGCATAAATTTTCAAGCATATGTGATATAGGATAAAACTCGTCTAAATCGAATGCAATCTATATCATAAAATCCTTAACAATATCAATAATTATATAGTAAACTTCAGTTTGATAAATAATATCGAAATTATGAATATCAATGAGACAAAAAATTAATTTTAACATAATAAGGTATAATAAATTTAAAATGTAACTCTTATAATTTGGAAGAAAAAAAAGACCATACCACTTCTTATCTTATTAAGGGTAAGATTAGAATTATTGACTGCAAAAACAAGTGGGCTATTAATTTTTGAAGAGAAATTTGCACTCCGTTAATGTAATCAATAAATATTCAAAAATAAAAAAGGTAATAATTGTTTCAAAAGTTAGTAAATTACCTAAAAAATCCTCTAGTCTGAGCTACATTTTTTATATTTGGTTATCTTTGAAATAATATATAATAGCTACAAAGCTATATTCAATTGCCTTGATGGTATTTTACTTTACAGCTTCATCTAGTGATCAATTCTCAAAATTTTTCAATTTCTATCATCCATCGTAATGAATTACTGACGAGGAACAGAAATTTTGAATAGTTTGTAAAATGCAAATAAAAAGTTACTTGAAGAAGCTGAAAATGTTTTTCCTAGTACAAAATTGAGGTTATGGCTAACAATGTATATATAATGTAAAGGGATTTGTCCTTCGGAAAAGAGTTTGTGAACTTGATTATTTTTCCCCCTTAATATCGATTCGATATTTTTGGAAAACGCTAAGACACTTTTTCGGTCTGTGCATGCCCAAATTTGCATACGAATATATTTTAAAATTATCATTCACTCAAGTGAATTGTGAAAAACGTTTAGTAAATTATAAAAAAATAGTAAGGGCAAATATCAGATCAGACAAGAGAAATTGGATTAGAGGCATTTATATTTATGTCCGTTGCAAAAGAATTGTTAACACAAATTGAAATACAAGACTTTACCTTTAAAAAAGACCTGGCCTAAGACCAGACTAAGTGGAATAGGGTTATGGAGGCAAGGTTCCTTATAAAAAATGAGGCCTCTAAACTTTACTAATAAGTCCAAGCATCTCCAGGCTGCACCTTATAGTTCGATTCTCTCTCCAAAATTTAATTTGGTCATGGTAATAGCTCGGAAATTAATTTATATTTCATAATTCAAGAAAAATATAAATATTTCATCATATCATTGAAGGTTTTACAATTGAAATTTATTAACCATTCACTCCAATAAATAATCTAAATTGCATATATTGAATCAGCTTTTACAACCTGATAGGGTTTAATGTCATTTTCAAAATTAACAAAGGAAAATATATCTAAAATTAGTTTTAAAAGCGAAAATCCATATCTAAAAATAATTTTAATTTTTTAGGAGACTCTTCAAGTTTTTACAACAGACCTCACCCCCAGAACAATGCTTATGATTATAATAAAATATGTTTAAAATTTTCTATTAATAACTATAAATTTTTAATTTCTTGATTTTCTAAATTCATGCCAATAAGATATTATTTTTTCTCTCTTGCTCCAGATATATTCATCACCATATTTCCAATACCATCTAAAAATAAATATATGATTACCAAATATTTAAAATCTAATTTCACATTCCAAATAACATTCCTCCCAAATGTGCTGCATGATCAAATAATTTCCATCTCATTAAAATACCGAGTGAGTCAAATATTAACAATCCTTTAAGTGCCTTGATATTGTTCATATTTTAACAGGAAAAAATAATTTTTTAAATTCAAATAAAAGAGGCATGACTAAAATATGCATCCCCGAAAACTACGCATCCCTTTATGATAGAAGCATAAATTTAATAATAATATAAAATTGTGTTCAGCTTATCAAAATTTATAAAATAATTTTATTAATTTTTAAAAAAAACTGGTAAATTATTAAAATATTAAAAAAATACTTTTTTACATGAATAAACTACGCATCCCTGTGCATCCTTGATAATTATGCGCTATTTTTTAAAAATGAATGCAGAATTATTTTAGCTCTTTAAAAGGATTCAGAAAATGTTAATATTAATCTTAAAAAATTGATAACTTAGTGGGATTTAGAAAAACTATGCATCATCCCCTTATTAAAAGCTCTAATTTAAAAAAAAATATACAATCATTAGCTCTTCAAGGGGATTCATAAAATGGTAATATTATTAAATTTTTAATTATCGAAATATTTTTGAGCAAATTATGCATCCCCTATTATAGAAGCTCAGATTTAATAAAATTATCATAGAATCGTGATTAGCTTATTGAGATGATATAGAAAACGTTATTTTCAATTTTAAAAAATGATAAATTAGCAAAAATTTTTAAGATACTGTATCTAAATATAAAAATGTCGTATCTGTTTTGTATCTAACTAGATACTAGATATAATTTTATAAAAAGTATCTATATCTAGATACTATTTTGTAGAGGTACCTTTATTTGTTTTTTAGATACTTTTCAGATACATTTTTATATACTTTTATTTAACGCTTTCTAAAAAAATAAAAGTATTTGAATATAAAATTTATTTTATCTCATATTATCAAAATGTGCATAGTAAAATTAAACCAACTTCGTTTTTATTCTTCTCAATAATATTAAAATTCATATGTTGAATCATTTAAATGATAGTAATAATCCAAAGATTTAAAAAAAATAAAGGAAGTGCATTTCGCAAAAAATATCTAAATTTTAAAACTTATTTTAAAAAAATATAAAAATTGTCATCGCTGGGCTTATTTTATAAATAATTGTATACATATATATATAATGTCAATCCATTGTTTAATAAAATGATTTTATGTTTATTTTGTATTAAATAAAGAAATAAAATTTAACAAGAGTATTATCTAACCAGGATTAACGCGGAGTTAGTATTAGAGTAAGAAATTAAATTTATTATTTCTGAGAGTAAGTGTGAAGATCAGTTTTTTATTAAGTTCAGTTTTTTTTATTATTTTTTTTCCTATTTAAATCTACAAGTATCATTTCAAGATTGTGAAATATATTTTTATCATGTAAGGAATATATAAATCCTTGCTTAGCCATGGCGCCTATTAATTATTAAAACCATACCACTAATGCACAAAATTTTTAAGCAAATAAATTTATTTAGAATTTTTTAAAATAATTTAATAGATATTCCATGAACTTTTAATGAATAAATTTTTGTTCGAAACCCCCTCCCCATGCCTACGCCACTGGATATAAGCCACTGAGAATTTGCTATAAGAAACGATAAAAATAGTGGAATTAACATTTTTTATAAAACATAAAAATGTTGTTTACGTATTTTGTGCTCTCATTCAAGAACAACGGTGAACCCTGTTTAGAAGTACAAAAAAATTGTGTCTGTATCTAGATACATTTTAAAAATTGATCTGTATCTAGATACCCTTTCAGACGAAGTATCTGTATCTAGATTCATTTTAGACGATGTATCTGTATCTAGATCCATTTTTAAAGTATCTTTTAACAACTCTGTAAATTAGTATCCAGAAATCACTTTTTGGGATTATTAAACATCTCCGACAAATCCCTAGGAATCACTTCTTAAAAAAAATGAATGTAGAATCATGTTTAGCTCTTTAAAGGGATTCAGAAAATGTTAATATTAATTTTAAAAAAAATTGATATCTTAGTGGGGTTAGCCCTTTTTTTAACCAATCTTCCCCTATTAAAAAGGCTCTAATTTTTTTTAAAAAATGTACAATCCAGGCGCGTACGCAGGAATTTGGTCTGGGGGGAGGGGGATAATAAAATTTTTTAAGAAATATTATTGTTTTTTTTAAATATCAAGCATTTATTAGGACTAATAACTATTTCTAATACACAATTTTAAATTAATGTGAATTATAAAAAAAATTATATGTAAAGAATCACTTAAATGACCCAAAATAGAAATTTGAATTTTTTGAGCCTTTACATAAAAAGTTTCTTAGGAATAATTGCATTTTGTATGTTATATATTTACAATGTAAAATCCAATCTTCGTTGTGATTGAGCTAATTTTTCAATTATCTCATCCTTGCTTGTCGTCAAATGCCTATGAATATTCAAAAGATCCAAACCTTTCAATCTACTTTCAGATGTTGTACTTCTTGGTATGTTTTTCAGAGACCTGCAGGCCCGGCCCCCGGGCCGGACAGTATTTTAATTTTTTTAAATATACCCGGGCCGGGCCCGAATTTTTTTTAAAAAAACACCCAAGCCGGGCCTGAATTATTTTAAAAAAACACCCAATCCGGGCTATATTTTTTAAAACAGCCTATATTTGAAATCGTTATTATTAGCTATAAAAATCAAAAATAAATATAATTTATTTTTTAAAAATCCGGGCCAGGCCTGAAAATTTTATTTTAAAAAAAGCTGGGCCGAGCCTGAAAATTTTTTAAAAAAAACCAAGGCCGAGCAGTAAAAAATCTTTAAAAAAAAATCCGGGCCGTGCTCTGCAAATGGTACTTCTGCAGGCCTCTGTTATTTTTCTTAAAAAAGAGAATGTTCTCTCATTAGTTTACTAATGGGAAGATTTTATAAACCCTTTTAATACATTGGGAATTAAATCTAAAATGTGTTTGAAATAATGAGAGCATCCATAGCATTTTTTTGGACTATATCAACTATAGTTAATCTTATAAACATAGTTATTCAGCTAGTAAGGCATCATAAGATACTTTAACATCTACATAATAAAAATCTAATAAATATTTTTTTTTTCTATCATTATCTGAAAAAGGTTGGGAAGGCTTTTGTGGAAGTAATATTTGCAGATTAGTAAGTGCTGCATGATGAATTAAAAATTCATTTATTTGGTTTATAAATGTATCTGTATTTAAGATATACTTTTCTACTGATCCTATATTAATGTTTTAACGAATAGCTTGCCTTGCTACAAGTCGAGGGAGACAAATATTAAACACGTATAGCTCTGCTTTTGACTCAACAATAAAATATAAAATATGAAATTCTTCATCAACATTAGCCCTAATTTCCTTGAGTTCTGATAAAATGCTCTCCGCTATTCTCATCTTCTTAATCAAGTCAATGTCATATTTTTGAAAAGTAATACTTAAAATAATTCTATAATTAAATAATACATTCTAATGAGAAATAAAATTTGGAATAAGCATTGAATCCAATAATTTTCTTGCTTCTGAGGAAATATTTTATTGTGATATTTCAGTAATAGCAAATAATTGGCTCTTCTAACTCCTTAAAAGCTGTTACTGCTTGATGGCAGTAACTCTATCTCATTTGACAAGGTTGCAATTTCTTTTTCCCTGTTGGACAAGAAGTTTCAGAAATAATTATTATTTGACTATAAATTTGAAAATGGTAGATAAATATTACGCCACTAAAAATTTGAAAATAATAAGTAAATATTACGCTGGAAAACTTGAAATCGAAATTAATTGATAAAATAACTTAGTAGATAAATGTGATAATAAATATAATTAAATATATATTTAATATGAGATACGAATAAATATTAACAAATATAAACAATAATATTTTTGAAAAATATATCCGGCACATTTTTTGGCTTGGGGGGGGGGGGGATTTGTCCCCTTGCCCCCCACCCCGCTGCGTACGCCAATGGTACAATCATATTTCGTAAATTAGTAAATTAACTTTTTTACCAGCCTGTCCGGAATTTCCAAATTTTTTAAACTTATAGCCAAATAAATATATCTTTTTCTATAATAAGAAATTATTACGAGCTGAGTAAAAGACCCTATGCGCATATTTTTCGCCCCAGTCCGAAAGCCTTTACAACTTTTTCAACTGGTTTTTATGTTTGAAGGTCATTTTTAAAATTAATTTTATTTATATTTCCTGTAGGCGTGAAAAAGGAGGACAGGAGAAGATCCTAAAATTGAAATTCCCTTAAATAAATTTCTGATCTATCTATCTTATAATTTTTTACAGACACTCAATTAGTCACACCACAACATAAAAATTTCCTTTTTTTTAATCTAATATTTTTTTTAATTTTGACATTTAAATTTTGTAATTATATTTCCTTAATTATCTGAGGAGACAGTGTTGGTCAAAAATTTAACCAGGTTCTTGTACATTTTTAATACTCATCTCCGCATAAATCTAAACCCTCATGAATATGATCATTTTTAGTAAATTTTCGGGCTTTTAGCGCCTAAAAATGTAGACTAGATAGATAATTATAACTCCTGATCCTGAGCCTTACTCAATATGGTAAACATAATTTCACTTTAAAAATAATAATATATCTCCAGCGATATTTCGTATAGATTATCAGTTAATCATATTCCATTGCATTTAAAACTTCACTTTCACATTTCTTGGATAACCTTAACAACATATTAAAGATTATTCAATTTATGTTTAGCTTTTAACAATAATCGATTGTTTATAATTTGGCCCTTTTTTTTTATTTTGATAATTTACTTATATATTTTTTTAACCTAACTTTTTCCAGATCACCTTAAAATGTAAGACATTATTTAACTTTTATTTTTTATTCACTAATAATTGGCTAAGATTCGTAGTTTAGCCCAAAAAAAATGAGTATTTTTTCTAGATCCCACTAGCTTAACATATTAAAATATTCTGAATCCTCTTAGGTAAATATGATACTGCATTAATTTCCTAAAAATAGGGCATAAATTTAGACTATGCGTAGTGATCTGTATGTGATGATATTTCTAATCATACATTTTATTAAATTTGTGCTTTTACAATAGGGGATGCATAGTTTCCAAAAAAAATTTGATATTAAATTATTTAAAAAAAAATTATTATTAACATTTTTTGTATCTCCTCAAAGTGCTAAACATAATTCTATATTTATTTTTTTAAATTTTAGCCTTTTTAATAGGGGATAAGTAGTTTAAAAAAATCATATTTTATATTTTTTTAAAAATTAATATAAACATTTCTGAATTTAAAGTACTACACATGATTCTGCATTCATTTTTTTTTTTAAATGGTGTATAATTATCAAGGATACATAGGGGGTATGTATTTTAATCATCTAAAAAGTGTTTTTTGATATTTTATTAATTTACCATATTTTTTAAAATTAATAAATACATTTTCTATATCATTTTATTAATCTAAACACAATCCTAATTTTATTAGATTTGCCCATCTATAATAGCAGATACATAGGGATGTGTAGTTTTGCCAAAAAACAAATTTTAAAAAAATATTTTAAATAAGAGCTATTTTAATAGGAGATGCATAGTTTGATCAAAAAAGAGCATTTTTGCAAAATCCCACTAAGTTATCAAATTTTTTAAAACAACATAATTAATGAGGATGCATATATATGGATGTATATTTTAGTCATGTAAATAGAGTATTTTTATAATATTTCATTAATTTACCAAACATTTTTAAATCCACTTGATAAGCTAAAAACAATTGTATATTATTCTAATTAAATTTGCACTTCTAAAATAGAGGATGCATAGGTATGTTCATTTTAGTCATGCCCAATAAAATATAATATTTTAATAAAATTAAAAATAAATACTGTTAGGGCTGAGAAATTAATCCATGGTAGTATAATTAAAGACAATTGTGCATTTGGATATTGGATGCATACACAACTCACTAAGGCCATAATTGCTCCAGAAGCCCCCATAGAAAAGGCATTTGATTGCAAGGCAATTTTAAGAACATAGCTTATTAAAGATGAAAAGGTCCCTGTAAAAAGATTAAATAGGTTTTATAAAAAAAATAACCTGCCATCAAATAAAATGCTAAAAATTGTTCTTTTCCTAAAATTTGTAAAGCAGGTGTGCCAAATGACCATAAGGCTATCATATTAAATGTAAGGTGCCAAGTATTATACTGACTAAATGAAGATAATAGCATGGATAAGCATGAATGTTCTAGATAGGGTTTAAATAGAATTATAATAATAATATTACTAGAATTAGGGTGTGAGGCAAAGAAGTTCATTAAAAAAGGTTGAAATTTTGATATTTTCCACATTATAAACACAGCTACATTCATACCAATAATTAAGGCAATCAATTTTTGACCTTCATTTAAATTATTAATCCAGTGATCTGATATCTAATAAACGTTAGTTAAGTTTGAAATCATTTTACTTTTTTTCGAACAGATCCAAATTTTGGTATTTTCATATTTAAAGCAGAATTAAAATCCGCTTTAGTAAGCTTACGTATGTTTTCATATTGCCAAATACCACAGGCCGTCACGGATGTGCCAGTTACCTGTTAAAAAGTAATATAAAATAAATATAATGGTATCAATTACTAGCAAGAAAAATCCAAAAGGTTTAACTAAGTTTCGAAATTTAGATGGGGCATTAAGATGTTTTGGTAACCCACTTATTAATCCTTCATGTTTATCTAGGCATTTCAATTTTATTAGTCCTTTATTAGAATCACTGCGTAGGAATCTGTTGCAAAATTTAATGCATAATTCAGCTTTTTTAAAATGTAACATATAATAATTTAGATAAACACATGTTTTTGATAGACATCATGGAATTTCACCGCGTACTATAAAAGTACCCAGGTTACTTCTTCCAGATATATATTTTACATATATACTTTACTCAATATTTCTATAAAACCTTATTCCTAGCACATAAGATAAAAATGAGAACTAAGTTCCTTAAATCCTTTAAACCTATTCTCTTAATTATAATCAATTTAAGTATAGACCCAATCTCTTATATAATCAAATTTAATATAGTCTTAAATCCTTTAAGACTTTAATTTCTAATACAATCAAATACAAGTAATTTTAGCATAAAATATATTTTTAAGACTAATTTAACTAATTTATTCACCATCTCACTTTCTGTTTAATCTCCCCTCCTCCATTTTATTTTATTTATTTTAAATCTCCCTTACATATCCTCCATTTTAATTCAGAATTCCAACTTATTTTCCATTTATTCATATACATACTCAATCTCTTATATAATCAAATTTAATATAGTCTTAAATCCTTTAAGACCTTAATTTCTAATACAATCAAATACAAGTAACTTTAGCATAAAATATATTTTTAAGACTAATTTAACTAATTTATTCACCATCTTACTTTCTGTTTAATCTCCCCTCCTCCATTTTATTTTATTTATTTTAAATCTCCCTTACATATCCTCCATTTTAATTCAGAACTCCAACTTATTTTCCATTTATTCATATGCATACTCAATCTCTTATATAATCAAATTTAATATAATCTTAAATCCTTTAAGTCCTTAATTTCTAATACAATCAAATACAATTAATTTAAACATAGAATATACTTTAAGCCTAATTTAACTAATTTATCCACCATCTTACTTTCTGTTTAATCCCCCCTCCTCCATTTTATTTCATTTTTATTATTCTTAAATCTCCCCCTCCATATCCTCCATCTTAGATCCCATATAATTCCGCCGAGTCCCTTTTATTATTATTTATTTATGTTTATTTTTGTTTGTTTTCTTTTCCGTATATTCCCAACATAACTTCATTTTAATTTAATTTATAAATTCTAGAAATTTGAATATTATAAATAAACAACATGCAAATTACAAAATTATTATGATCTCCATGTTTTCCTATTTTAATTATTTTATTTAATTTTCTGTAATAAATAAGATATCGAAACGGAAATAACTAGAATAGTTCTACATAATTATTTTCTTTTCACCCATTTATATTTAAGAAATTTTCTGCCATATTTAAAATCATTTTAAATTATTTTAAATTTACCCAACCACTCGGATCCCAGCAAACACTCCGGACTAAAGGTTATTATTTCGCTTATTTATTTTCTCTTCATAATTTTTTTTCCCTTTTTGTCGCTTTCACCCAAATTTATCTTATAAAAGATTTAATTTTCTTAAAACATATAGTTTTCTAACTAATTTAGTCCTTCACGTAACTCTTTAGCTCAAGCAAAATACAAGTTCAGAAAAATTTCTTTACCAAACCTTACATCATGAATCTTAACTCCTCCGTTAAAACTATGCTAAACGGGTCTCTTTTCTTGTCCTCCTTAAATATTAATGGCATCAAAGATAAAATGTCAATTCTTATGACGTTATTATCAAATGACTCTACCGACATAATAGGTTTACAGGAAACTCACTCCCCCGACAACCATTCGGCCCAATTTACAAATTATATATACTATAGCTCTGGAACCACGAACAATAAATGGTCAGGTGTGGCCTTCCTTATCAAAAATAAGCTCAAAAAATTCATTATAAAATTTGTCCCTATAACCGAAAGAATTGCTGTACTATACCTGAATACCGCCTACAAACCCACCATCCTCCTCAATGTTTACGTCCCCCCTAAACTCACAGAAAGAATGTTATTCCTAGAACATCTAGATAACGTGATAAACTCCCTACCAAAAAGATACAATATCATAGCTATGGGAGACTTCAATACTAAGATAGGCCATGAGATAACATACAAAGTAAGCAATACTATAGGCCACACAACAATATATAACAGCAACGATAAAGATGGAAAAAAACTACTCCAAATATGTTTTGATAACAATCTAAAAATTGAAAACACGTTCTTCAAACACAAACCTCCTCACCTCATGACCTTCTCAAGAGGCGGCCACTCCTCCCAAATTGACCTCTTCCTATCCAATATCCATAGCTGGTTTGCAGATGTAAAGGCTATCCTAAACATAAACATATCAGATCACAAACTGATCAAAGCGCATATAATAATACGTAGTGATGAATGGAGAAACAATAATACCAGGCGCATCCATAGCACAATACGTACAACGCCAGAACAACCTACCAAATGGCACTTCACTAATATTGACAAAACAACCTATAATGAAACAATATGCTCAGGCCTAGCTAGGACCATTCAGCTCTTCCCTACCAAACCATTAGAAGAATGTTGGACAGACTTCAAAAGTGCGGTTTTCCATGCATATAATAATCTCAACCACAGCCAAATACCAAAAAGAGAATGGCTCTCAGTAAATACAAAAAACTTAATCCTATCGATAAAAAATGATAGAAGCCGTAATTTAGAACTATGGAAACGCATTCAGAGATTACTACGTAGCGATCGTAGGATTTACCTAGCAAAGAAAGCTGAAGAAATAGAAATAGATATGAGGAACAACAAAACTCATGACGCCTATAAAAAGCTCAAACACTTCTGCAAACCAGCCTGCTTTAAGAAATTACCAATACTTACTTTACAAGGAGGTAACAAATATACAGACCCTCAGGAGCAAATGGCCATCTGGACAGACTTCTATATGTCAGCCTTTGAGTCCAGGATCCCTTCCAAGATAGTGAACCCCCAACGGACAATCTTGCCATTATCCCACTCCAATTTCTCCCTCACAGAAATTAACAGAGCCATAAACAAACTAAAAAATAATAGAGCCCCTGGCTCTGATGGGATTAGAAATGAACACATGAAAGCCGCTCCAGAGAGCATTTCCAAATATCTATTAGCCATATTCACCAAAATATGGCATTCAGGTAAGACCCCAGATGATTGGAATAAATCCACAATCTGCAACTTTCCCAAGAAACTTCATCCTTCATCTTTCGCAGACTATAGGGCCATTGCTCTCACCTCCACAGTCTCAAAGGTGTTCATGGTGCTCCTGAAGAACAGAATTCTTGATTCTACCAAAAACCTCCTTTCAAGCAATATTTGCGCATACAGACCAAATAAGAACATCAACGAACCCATCCTAGCTCTTAAAATCTATCTACAGAAGTGTTTTAGATATAAACTTCCTTTTATATTTACTTTCATAGACTACAGCAAAGCCTTCGACAACGTGAAACACAATGCCCTCTGGGAGACTCTAGAAGATTGCAATATCGATCCAAACATAATTAAAATTTTGAAGTACCATTACAATAACTCTTGGGCCAAATTACAGCTAGGCCAAACTTTCTCACCTTACTTCAAGATTAAAAGAGGGGTAAAACAAGGCTGTGTACTATCACCTATTTTGTTCAATATAATCATAAACAAAATTATAAAGGAAACCACGAACACCATGAACCTAGTTGATATATCATCAAACAATAATAATATCAATCACCTAAGAATCATCTCATACGCAGATGATCTAGTTTTAATCACCAAATCAAGAGATGAGACAATAGACTTACTAACAAGTTTATGCTTTCATAGCAACAAAGTAGGTTTAACCATAAACTTTAATAAAACGTTTATTATGCCATCCCCAGAGGCGTCTATAAATAACTTAACATTTGAGGGAAATGAAATTAAAATAGTTAACAATTTTAAATATCTTGGCGTACTTATCGATAATAAAGGAAATATCAGCGGTGAAATCGAAGCCCGACTAAAAAACGCCAAAATAACCTTTATGAAATATTACAAACTATGGACAGCGAGAGAGATCTCAGTCAAAACGAGGCTCCGAATTTTTAACGCCACAGTCATTCCAGTCCTCCTCTACGGCAGCGACACTTGGGAAATAAATAAATCTCAGACAAAGAAAATACAAGTTTTCGTAAACCGCTGTCTGCGCCAGCTCAACGGTATTTTCTATCCAAGAATAATTTCGAATGCCAGCCTATGGCGAATTTCAAAAAATGTCCCGATCGAGACTACTCTCAAAAAAAGGCACATTCAACTCTTTGGTCACACCATCAGAAACTTCAGACAAAACATAGTCCATGAAGCTATAATCTGGCTCGAGTCTCATGAAGGTAAAACATACGGTAAATACAAGTCATATTGGCTATACAGAACGATAAAAGAAATCATAAGCCTAAATCTAACGATGGAACAATTCATACGTTTAAACAATAATAAAAGCTCAATAAAAAAGCTTCTAAAAATCAAATCGGGCTACCTGCTCCCTCCAAATCTCTTAGCCCCCCCAGCAACATAAGCACCACTTTCCTCCCGCCATGGTAAACATACATTTATCTATTTGTTTATAAAACTCTTCATGTACCTACCTTGATATAATTATCCAAAATATACTTAACTCACTAATCTTAATATTCTTAAATAGTAAGGCAGATTTATTTAAAAAAATATATCATATTTTTACTATATAAACAAATTCAATATAGACCATAAACTTAAAATCTACCAATACCCCTCCCTATAATTTACATTTTACTTAATCGGGTACGGGCTTTTCTCTCTCTTCTTATTTCCCGTAGGCGTTTAAGCAAGTGGTTTCGCCTCTTGCGCGCACAGGTAACTGCAGCCTGCCCAAGAACTGTGGATGGGCTCATCTCATAGGTTACCCCCAAATTTCTTAACCCAATTAGATGGGATTAAATTTTCGAATATTAGTCATTGGTTTTGCTTTGCCAAAATGAGACTATAACTAATAGGTCATGTGATATTGACAATTAATATAGGATGTCAGTAATTGTTTTGTATAATTATTTTTTATAATACAAATATTCTTATATTATAAAATTTTATTTATTATATATATATAAATTATGCATAATATTTACAATAAATATTATATTTATATATA